TGCTAGGCTTTGCCGTGCGGGCGAGATACTCTCGGTAGCTTGCTGAGCTCTCCAAGAGGGGCAGAGGAATCGAACTGGGGTCAACCAGGTTGGAAGCATGCAAGGCAAATGCCCTACCTGCTGTGCTATTGCTCCAGCCCAAGAAAAAAGTATAAATTGCAAATAAGAATGTTGCCTTCAAGTCATTGTCAGTTGCTGAATGCTTTACCTGATTCAAATGCAAATTTTGCTTATTCCAAATATCAGTTAGGATGCTTTGTGTGCAAATGCTAGAAATTCATTGCTGTGTGTGCTGTCTATATTAAATATCCAAAATGACAGGAAAATAAAACCATTAGTATAGAAATAAGATATAACCATAAGGATGTGGGTGTTCAATTAGAGAAGAGGGGATGAGAATCCTCTTAGGAAGAATCTGTGATGTACAAAAGTATCTTATCCCTATAGTTATGCTTTTTGTTTATGAAATACTTTCCTCTTTTAAAAAATATAACCAAACACTTGGTAGTCTCTGCCCTAATCAAACTGTAGATAAATGTTTGTACCTTGAAGAAGTAGCAAGGAACATGACTGAAAATGCATTTATATTCCTTAAAGATTTCTATTCATGGATTGATTTTGGCTTGGGGGCACACCCAGTGGTGCTCAGGGTTTACTTCTGACTCTGTACTTAGTAATCACTCCCAGGAGGGATCAGAGGATTATACATGGTGTCAGGGTTCAAACCCAGTCAACCATGTGCAAATCCCTATCCCACTGTCTCCAGATCTGAAATTGTCTTTTCCTGGTACATTCACCTGAATATTTTAGCTGTCCACATTCCAGGAAACGTTATTCATCCTCTTCATCCCCCTTTGCCAGTTCTCATACCTGGTCTGAGCGGAAACCTGGCGAGACACACTCTCTCAGCTGCTCAGAGCTGCCCGGGATTCCTCCTGAATCAATGCAGCCTTCTAGACCAGCATCTGCCTGCGACAGGGTTGTCCTTGACTTCTACCCAGAAAGAGGGCTCTTGGGACATGGACGTAACCATGAATGGTCTTTATGTATTGAAAAAAAAGCAACCTGTAGTGCTTTACTCCCTCTTTAAGCTTAAGAAGTGAGAAAGTATGAGCTGCTTTACCTCTCAATCACTGCAGAGATGGAGAGTCTTTGCGATTTGAGTTCTTCACCTCGGTACTGTCTCGAGAAGTATTGATAATCATTTCTCTGGGACTTGCAGAGTGCAGAAGATAAACTGTTAGCACATGTCATATGTGCATGGCTGTTCTATTCCTTTGAACTGTTTAACATATTTTCTGATTTAAAATGTTGCAGCTCCAATCCACTAAAACTGAATTAAGGACTGCAATCACTTTCCTTCCTAGCAAGGGCAAAGCAGAGTTGTGGAACCGAGTCCTAGGTAAGGGAAGGAGGTAGTGGGGAACTGACATCGAGAGCAGCATGCACTGTGTGTTAAGTCTGCATAGCCATGAAGCGTATGACAGAGATCAAAGTTCTGCCCTGGCAGGTTCACTCTAGAAAACCAATTGAGTTAACATGACTAAGTATACCAAAACCTAAGGGAAAAAAAAACAGATAAAATCAGCCCCCAGTCCTTCAACCTGGGGAATAAAATGCAGCTGCTGCCCTTCCCCCTAAGTTGTCCAATACGCCAAATTCTAAATGAACATTGGTAGGAGACAGTCACCATTTCCAGACTGGCCAAAGAGCTCAGACTAACAGTAAACTGGAACAGTAAACTGCAGGCTGGACAAGATTATGGTCCTGAGTTGAGTAAGGAAAAATATTCCAGACTAAAGAATAGCTCATTTCAAAAGTCAACCGAAGCAATTCTTGATAGAACACAATCAAGTGGTGACAACTGATGAATTTCCGTAAGATCTCAGAAAGGATAGTGATAAAAAATTAAATGGAAAAAGGAAAAATGGCCAGGACTGAAGCGATAGTACAGTGGGTAGGGCATTTTCCTTTGCATGCGGCAGACCAGGTTCAATCCCTGGCATCCCATATGGTCCCCAGGAGTAATTCCTGAGTGCAGAGCAAGGTGTAACCCCTGAGCATCGCTGGGTGTGACACAAAAAGCAAAAAAGAAAAGTGAAATAAAATAAACTACATATACACCAAATAATTTTAAAAAGAAAGAAAGAAAAATAGCACTAAATAGTATAAATCCTTAGATTGGAACAGAATAAAGTGTTTTTGCTTTTTCTTTTGTTTTTTTATTATTGATGTAGTGCTGGTTGGGCTGGAACAATAGCACAGCAGTAGGGTGTTTGCTTTGCATGCGGCTGACAAGGCTGACCCGAGTTCGATTCCTCCGCCCCTCTTGGAGAGCCTGGCAAGCTACCGAGAGTATCTCACCCGCAAGACAAAGCCTGGCAAGCTCCCCGTGACATATTTGATATGTCAAACACAATCATAAGTGTCACACTCGAGACATTACTGGGCCCGCTCGAGAAAATCGATGAACAATGGGAGGACAGCGACAGTGACAGTCATGCCGGTTGTTTCTTCATGGGGGAATATTGGTTAATAAAGGTTTTTGAACAGAGAGATGACACTATTAAAACAGTGATTTGGGGTCTGGAGAAAGAACCCCAAAAGCTGGAGTCTTCTTTAAGAGTGATCCCCAGCACTAAGAAAATGATGGCTTGAGGAACCAGTTGGGATGGGAGATGTATGCAGAAAGTAGATAAAGGACCAAACATAATAACCTCTAGGGTCTGTATTGCAAACCATAATGCCCCAAAGGAGAGAGGGAGAGGGAGAGAGAGAGAGAGAGAGAGAGAAAGAGAGAGAGAGAGAGAATGTGTATGGGGAATATTGTCTGCCATGGAGGCAGGGGAAGGGTAGGAAATGGTATATCGGGGTATACCAGGGATATTGGTGGTGGGGAATGTGCACTGGTGGAGGGATGGGTGTTTGATCATTGAGTGATTGTAACCCAAACATGAAAGCTTGTAACTATTTCACGGTGATTCAATAAAACGTTTTTTAAAAAAAAGGGTGATCCCTGGCACAAAATATTCACTTCCTCATTCCCCGTCCCACCTTTGGCACCAAACCATCAGACCCTCCATGTAAGCCAGTTTTCCTCTGTAGTGACCTCTGTCCTCCTAACTGCTACTAAACAGGCACCCTAAAAAAATAAAATAAAATAAGGGGACAGAGAGATAGTACATCAGATGAGGCACTTTCCTTGCACATGGCCAACCAGAGTCAATCCCTGGCACTTCATATGCTCCCCCAAGCCCTACCCAGAAATGACCTCCAGCACAGAGCTAGGACTAAGCCCTGAGCCATACCACTGGGTATGGCTGAAAAAAAATCAAAAGAAATAAGATGCTTCTGAAACACACTAATTTTTTTTTCCTTGAAAAGTTTTAAGGCAAAATGAGACAATAAAAGATTACAGAATAAAGTTCAAACTAGAATAAAGAAAAACAGAATAAGGAAAAGATGAGCAATAATGGGAATACTATTTGGAAATACCAAGGTGGGGTTATCCTAGAAGTGGTGAACAGGTGAGATGGGACAAGAGAAAGAAGTCAATTGAAGACCAGTCAGCACCGCAGCTTGACAGCAAGGACTCTGTAGTGGGGAAGAGATAACAGAAAAGAAATGCCTGCAGAAGGTGCTGTGGAAAAGGAACTGCTGGAATTTAATGGCTGCAAGGGCAAAAGGAAGGAGAGCCACAGTGATTCCCCTTGTTCCCTGTCAGCTTTGGTGTTTGAAATTCTTAGAAATAAACTTTATTTTTTTTGCCATACTTTTTGCTTATTATAAAAGTGGTCATTGGGTTTTGGCATTTTCAAACCCACACCCTTAAATTTTTCAGCTCCTCTCTGTTTACTTAAGTCTTTAATCCTCTAGTTTCCTATTGATCATTGGAAGCAAACTGTAGGGTTATCCCCCAGCAATGAAGATTTGGAATTTCTAAATGGAACCCAAGATGGATTGCTCTCAAGTCTACAGTGGGTTGGGTTTTTCTGTAGAAACCTCTTATTCAGTCCTGTTCATGGGTCTGGAATCAATCCTCTCTCCTGTACCAATACCCCAAGCAACAATAAATGAACATCAGCTGGCAACTTAGATCCTGCAGTACTGAGACTTTTGCTTTCAGAGGTTGTCAATATATCACTCCAATGAGTTCGGGTCAGTCTGTGTTCAGGGAGGAGTGGTCCTTAGTAGGATGCTTTTGTCACCGTGTGAGGAGGGTAGTTAGGACAGAGAAGGGACCGATATGACAATGATAGAGGGAAATGGTCACCCTGAACAAGAACTGGGAGCTGAAAGGAGGTAAAGTGATACTCATGATACCCTTTCCGTAACACTCTTGCAAGCCACAGTGTTTAAAAGGAACTGTGTCTGCTATAGATGCAAGCCGAAGGGGGACAGGAGGGAAACTGAGGACACAAGGGGAGGGAATTCGAATCTGTGAACGAGTGGGTGAATGAATGGGTGCTCAAACATTCTACAACTGAAACTCAGGAACAATTTTGAATCTCACAGTGATTCAATAAGTTGAAAAAAATCTAAGATGTCAATTTTCAGATGTCAGGACATGAAATAAGGGAGATGAAGCCCTTAACACAGGGGAACCAAGTCTGAAAAGAAGGAAGTCTCCTTTTGAAGTCACCCGTGTGAAACTCTGGAGAAGTCAGCTCTAACTAGCTTCTCTTTTTCATGTCCTAGTAAGAGAATTCTCTCCCGGCTTCTTCTGGCTTCAGAAAAGATTATAACACGGCATTCTAGTAATTATCACAATCTATGCAACAATTTCTCATGTTGATGGTCCTCTTGGGACATATAGAATTGAAATAGCAAGTAATTACATAAGATTTCCTCACAAGGGTTAGCTGAGAGTTGACTGAACCAGGGAGTAGAACACGCAGTGAATGACACGAATCCCCTTGTGCACACGCACACGCACACGCACAGATCCGCACCCCAGGGCCCAGAGCACACCCTGCTGAGCAGGGCGGGGAGCTGGCTACCTCTCACACAGGAAGACGGACTCCACTGCAAGGCCAGGTTCCCGCACAACGACCTTCTCGCAGTGCCAATACTGGGATCTGTCCGTCGCATCACAGCGCAGCAGCACCTTCTGCAGTTTCCCGAGCGACACTGCTTCGATGTGAAATGTGTCCTTCTGAAATGGGAGATTTGAAAAAAAAAGAAAAAAGAAAAAATGCAAAAATCTCTGAGTCGCAGACACAAGTATAGGCCACAGTAACAGGCCAAGCGCTGCCGGAAGCAGCATCAAATCCTCCAAGAGAAAATGCACCATCCTTAGGAACTGCAAGGGTAACCGGGAAAGGAAAAAGAAGCAAATGATTTGCATCGATTAAAATGTATTTCTAGCTGTGCTTTTCTTCTTCTTTTTTGTTTTCTCCACTCGTAGTAATATCCAGTGTTATAAATAAACAAATCCTGCATTCACAGAGGTTTCCATCTGTGCTTTTTTCTTGCTTGGATTCCTGACTCTGCCCTGCAGTTCATTAACTTGTCAGGCCAACAAAAAAAATGACCTCACACGCAGAACATTTAATTTCTAGGGATGCTGAGAAACCAGGAGGTGTGCGGGGACACATTTTTTTCTTTCTCTCTTACCTTTCCATTTACCTTCCTCCCTCCCTTCCTCCAAACCCTTCTCCTATATCATATTTTCCTCTGTATACAGTACACAGCACATTCTTGGATTTATCATGAAAGACCATCGTAGAATCTTCATTTATCAATCTTCATTTATTAAACAGAGTCATTTATGCACATCGTGACATTCCCAGAGAGGTATGGAACTTCAAATAAAAGCTACCGTAGTTGGACCAAAAGAACTTCTTCACATGACTTTTTCACAGTGTCACTAAGAACAAATACCTTAAAATTACCCAGGGAAGGGCTGAAAAAATCTCATGAAGTCTCTATGTGCCCAGGAATAAGTCATAACTGTGAACTCCAGCTGCCTTCCTGGTGATAAAACGCAAATACCACATTGGGTGCGTTTCCTGTTGCCTGCCTGAACAACCAGTTACATTGCAGTTTGGACATCCATTTTAGATGGAAGCTACACGAGCTCAGTTGGAATTCTTGATTCCAACTGAGGTTTTTTTTTGGGGGGGGGAGGGCTTATGGGCACACCCAGCGATGCTGAGGGCTCCTCCTGGCTCTGCACTCAGGAGTTACTCCTGGCAGTGTTCTGGGGATGCTATGAAATGCCAGGAATTGGCATGACCTCAGTCCATGCCTGGGCAAGGCATGTGCCCCTGACCTCTGAGCTCCCTCCATAGCTTGATTTTCTTGTTTATTTTCTTTTTCTTTTCCCATCTTTTCCCCACTTTTTGCTCAGTGCTTACTCCTGGCTCTGCACCCAGGGATCACTCCTGGAAAGGCTCGGGGAGCCAAATGTGGTACCAGTGATCAAACCCAAGTCATTTTCCTACAGGGAAAGCGCCTTACCTGCTCAACTATTGCTTTGGCCACATGCTCAAAGAAAATTTTTGAAATACTATTAAACTATGTCTATTTTGTATGCTGCTACCAATTGATTATACCCCTGAACGCCTCGTGGAGAAACTAACAACCAACCATCAGTGCCTAGTGATGCAAGAGTGGCTGCTGTGAAGTCATTCTGGTCCTAGAAGAGACTGTCCCGTTTCTTGACTTCAAAACACTTGAAAACTTTCAGCATTTTATAATACTGGGTGTGTTGAGGAAAACAACAGAAAATGTGGAATCTAAAATGAACCAGGCTAAAGAAATGTTGGTACGTCTACACAATGGAATACTATGCAGCTGTTAGAAAAGATGAAGTCATGAAATTTACATACAAGTGGTTCTACATGGAAAGTACCATGCTAAGTGAAATGATCCAGAAAGAGAGGGACAGACATAGAAAGATTGCACTCAACTGGGGAATATAAAGTAACAGAATGGGAGACAAACATCCAAGAATATTTGAGATAAGTACCTGGAGGTCTGCTTCAGGGTTTGGAATCCAGCAGTACATGCTGGGGGAAAAGGCAGCTCAGATAGAGAAGGGAACACCAAGTAAAAGATGTTTGGAGGACTCACTCAGGATGCAAGATGCGTGCAGAAAGTAGACTATAGTCCGAACACGGTGGCTACTTAATACCTCTATTGCAAACTACAACACCCTAAAGAAAAGAGAGAGCAAAAGGGAATGTTCTGCCACAGAGGTGGGGAGGGGATGGGGTGGGTGGTGGAAGGGCTAATGGGATCATTGGTGGTGGAAAATGGGCACTGGTGGAGGGATGGGTATTCATTCATTGTATAACTGAAACCCAAGCACGAAAGTTTGTAAACCGACCACTGTACGTATGGTGTTTCACTAATAAAAATAAAATAAGATAGAATGAAATAAAATAAAATGAACCAGGGAAGGAAAGCACTTTTATATCTCTGACTCTAAACTTCAAAAGAAACCCCTAAGCCCACATTCATCGCTTATTCAAATACTGATTGCAATGATACTTCCTAACCTGTTTAAATCTGTCTGCAACATACCCTGCAACCCTCTAGTAAATGCCACCTGCAGTAGTGGTCTGAAGAAAGCTTCATCATGAAGAGGACTTGTGAAATTTCAGCGAGTAACTTCACACAGTACTGCACGCTGGCAGTGGGAAGAAATGACAGATTCACCATATGTCACAAAGGGCTGGGGTAAGAGTATGGGACTCAAGGAAAGCAGGGAGGATCCTTAAAGGGAAAAATGCCACTGATCACTCAGCATCATATTAATAATATCTCTGTCTGGAATTTGGTTTCTGCTCAAAATTAGCAATTCACTGATGACAGCAAAAGTTAGAGATAATTTTGTTTTATCCTCATCTGAAACACATCTATTATTCCCTCTTTGTTCTCATGAAAGCTTGCATAATCCACAGTGATAACAACAACCAAAATAAGATGGTGGATATTTCAAAATATTTCATAAACTAAAAAAACAGTGTTTGAGAAATTGCAGCCTCAGTCTGATTTAGAAATTTTATTTTAATAAAAAATACATCCTTATGGGTCCAGGGGATGTAGCTTCCTGGTAGAGAATCTATCTGACATATTTGAGGCTGTGAGTTTGATCCTGTTGCTGCAACCAATGCAACCTCGAGTCACTACGGGGGTTTGTTCCCGGCACCACAAGTCTGCATCCCCTGGGTGAAAACTGCAACCAAATATGAGATCTTCATTGAGCACCCAAACCCAAGATGTGAATCCAACAGCAAAGAGAATGACAGAAGAAAAAGACTTATAGGTATGGAGCACATATATTTTTATATAATTCTTATTCTTCAATTTAAAGCCCAATATAATACTTTCTGCATATTTCATAAAATATTAAAAATTAACTGGGATTATTATGTTTCATTGGAACACCTCAAACATTTAGTACCTACATAGACATTTATACATAAAGAACAAAAGGAAAATAGTGAGTACTTTTAGGTGTGAAAATAACACATTTGGCTGTGTTAAAAATGTTAAAAAAAAAAAAAGAAGCTCTATAGTGTTACTATGTGAAACAGGGAGTATGGCCTCACTTTATAAAATAATTCTCTGTACCTTTGTACCTTCCCCAACAGAGTGTATTCATATATATTTTCCCCTGATACCATCTCAACTCGTTTTTTCATTCTCTTACACTATCACTAATTTTCATCTACTTTTCTTTGTTCGATTATTCATTGCTACGTAGTGTGGGTCATTTTTCTTTCGAGAACAATTCCTAAAACAAAGTATATGAAGAATCAAGACAGGAAAATGTGCTAAAGATAACAAAAGCTTGGGATTTGGATGGTGTGAGTATTAAAAGTTGCATGCATATTCAAATGTTAAGCTCAACTCCTGAATTTCCATAATATTGTAAGCCAATCTAAATTAGTTAAAAATAAAAATAAGGATAAATACCAGGAGGTTTACTCCATGGCTTGGAGGCCAACCGCACACTCTAGGGTAAAGGCAGCTCAGATAGAGAAGGGAGCACCAAATAAAGGGTGTTGGAAGGATCCTCCCAGGATGGGAGAAGCATGCTGAAAGTAGACTCTAGACCTAACATGATTGCCACTCAATGCCTCTTTTGCAAACCACAGCACCCAAAAGGAGAGAAAGAACAAAAGGGAGTGCCCTGCCACAGAGGTAGGGTAGGATGGGGGGATGGGGGTGGGAGGGATACTGGGATTAGTGGAGAATGGGCACTGGTGGAGGGATGGATACTCGATCATTGTATAACTGAAACCCAAGCACAAAAATTTGTAAGTCTACAACTGTACCTCATGGTGTTTCACTAATAAAAATTTTTGTAAATAAATAAATAAAAATAAGGAAAAGATGCCCTAGTAAACAGTACAAGGGTGGCAAATACTTTTTTAAGTTGCAAACCAGCAGCCCGGAGAGGAAGTGCAAAAGACCAGGGCAGAGCTCACCATGAAAGAGGCACTACCTAGCATCAATCACATGATTCCCAGAGCAATGCTGGGAGAGACCCTTAAGAACTAACCCTAGAGTAGTGTCTGAGCACTGCCAGGTGTGCCATCCTCATAAATAAATTTAAAAATGTAAAATTAAATAAATTTCCAATCACCTTGTACAACCACCTACAGAGAGATTGCTAAGAACACCAGGAAGTTATTGGGCAAACTCACCTGTCCTCTTCGAAATTTTGCAGGCATGTCAGATTGGCGCAGCAGCCTAAGGCCAGAATCTCCTCTCTCCCCATAGAGACACAGGAAAACTTCAGACTCCGTTTCTGCTTGCTTCAGTTCCCCAGTATGGACGTCCACTTGGTATCTCACCACTGGCAAAGCAAAGAGAGACAAGCCAGAGGAAACCCATCACTTTGGAATCCGGACAAGCAGAATCCAGAACCATGGGTCAGGAAAGAAAACCACAAAAACAAAGGAACAGAACATATGAGAGAAGTGACTGAATCTAAACTTTCTATATCTGCAGAGATAGATTTCACCTTTTGGGTTTTGATTTCATTATAAACGGGCATTTTACGGTCCTAAGCAAATGCCCAGAGGGTTTATAGGTATTTAAGAAAGACTGAGTCTGGCAGGGCACAGGGCAGAGTCTGGCAAACTCCCCGTGGCGTACCAAATATGCCAAGTACCAGTAACAATGATGGGTCTCATTCTCCGAAAGAGCCTTGAATATAATCTCAGGGCTAGGATGAAAGAGACGTTACTGGGGCCTGCTCGAGGCAATTGACGAATAACAGGATGATGAATGAATGAATGAAGAAAGACTGAACAATTTTAAAAGACATGATTTTGTATTAGACAGCTGGAAATGTACTGTGTGTTTTAGTAGTAGCAAAGATGACAATGCTATTTTACACGATGCTTAAAATTTGAGACAATGTAAGATTTGATGAGGAATGATACCAAAAGAGAGATGATGACATGAAGTAGTGGCCTGGCCGGATGAAGCCCTAGCAGGACAGTTTCTTCTCCTCTAACTTTAGTCCTGAGACTATGGGAGACTCAGCAATTTTTTTTGCGATTATGGTTAATCCAAATCCACTAGTAATTCATGCTGTGATGCAGAACACATCACTTATCGATGATGAAACCATCCTCTTTGAATTAGAATAAATATTCTGTAACTATGTGGTTTAGGAATCAATTTGTGTAGCTGTAAGAAAATGGCATCTGCAATGTTTAGCAGTGAAGACTAGCAACTCACATGGAAACACGGCTTGTCCTCTGTTAACCACGGGAAGCTCACAGACAATGTCCCCGTCTGCTCGGATCCGAGATAAGCATACATTGGCCACAAAATCCAGGGCCTTCTTGCTTCTCAGATGTTGCAGGGTCACCTAAGATGAGAAGGAACAAGGACAAAGATTTCCAGATTTTCAGAGATTTTACGGCATGAGTTGTATACCTGTCTCAGCTAAAATGCATGGCCCACGCTGGTTAACAGACATGGTAGTTCTCTTGCTTAGTAGTGACGTAGGTATCTAGACAGAGAAGGATCGCCATGGCAGTGGAATTCCTAAAGGTAAAAAGGTAAAGGCCCTCCCATTGTTCATCGATTTGCTCCAGCGGGCCCAGTAACGTCTCCATTGGAGATTTTGTTGTTACTGTGTTTGGCATATCGAATACTTCACGGGGAGCTTGCCAGGCTCTGCCGTGCGGGAGAGATACTCTCGGTAGCTTGCCGGGCTCTCCAAGAGGGGCGGAGGAATCGAACTTGGGTCGGCCATGTTGGCTGCGTGCAAGGCAAATGCCCTACTGCTGTGCTATTGCTCCAACCTCTAGTGGAATTCCTAGGATGTAATAAAACCAACAGCCCCAAGGCTGCAGAAAGCCCACCTTGGGGACACAGGAACTGAGGCCTTATATGACTTTTCACCTGGTGCCAACAGACCCAGAGAAGACGGGAACCCCATTTGAGACAAGTTCCAACTGGAAAAAAATGCCAAAGAGAGGAATTCCAAAGAGGATCATCAACCAATCCCAATTCTACCCCCTTGGCAACCACCCTAGCAAATGACTCTTACCTACGTAAAAGCCCCGCCTGGGGTAGCTTGGGGAAACCCCTAGAAATGCCATGCAGATTACCCTCTACTCCTTAAGCACCAAGTAAGCATGAGTGATCTTTAATTTTGTACTTTTAATTTACAAACTATTTCACATATGCTATAAATACTTGCTAAGTAACCAAAGTGTCTTACACCAATTATCTATTCCACAAAACGTTTTCCGACATCTACCACTATTCTTGTAGTTGGATTTGTATTACGTTTCTGCTATCTTGCTTCTCAGTTCCTAATGGATAGATCTCAAACAGAAATAAAAATATCAAATAAGCAACACATTATAAGGGAAATAAACCAAGTTCACTGAGAGCATTTGGGGGAATACTTTAGATTGGTGAAATCCATCTAAGACTGGAAGATCCGTGTAATTGAGGCATAATTCACAAGGGCAGAGTGGTTTGGAAAGAGGTCAAAGAGGAGAACGAGGTGGACAGGGACTAGATAAAGGGGGAAAGAGAAGGTCAAGTTGCTATTTTTAATGAATCATTCCAGCTGCTCTTTGGAGACTTGATATTAGAGGACAAAAAGAGCTGGAGAGATATTTGGAAAACTTGCAGTAAACCAAAGAGAAAACCTAGCCGTGTAGAATAAAGTAGCACTGTAGCACTGTCCTCCCGTTGTTCATCGATTTGCTAAAGTGGGCGCCAGTAACGTCAACATTGTGAGACTTGTTGTTACTGTTTTTGGCATATCAAATACGTCACAGGGAGCTTGCCAGGCTCTGCCGTGTGGGTGGGATACTCTCGGTAGCTTGCCAGGCTCTCTGAGAGGGGCAGAGAAATCAAACCCGGGTCAGCCACATGCAGGCAAACACCCTACCCACTGTGCTATCGCTCCAGCCCCACCCACTAAAGACTAAAGAGATGACAATAAAATAAAACAAAAGGCAAAGTCCAGGATCTAGAGAGAGTCAATAGAGGATTTCAGAGGGTTGGAGTTTGGTGGTAAAGAAAATGAATAATCAAGAAAAAAATGGAAAACTTCTGATATAGGTAACCAGGTACATGCGACACCATCAACTCAGAGGAACCAAAAACCAGAGGTGGGAAACAAGGACTTGTTCATGCTTTATTTCATTTTTCCTGATGCTCACAACTTGTGACAATCAGGACAAGTATTGCTGAGCCTTATTTTTTGCTCGAGCGGGCCCAGTAACGTCTCCATTGGAGACTTTGTTGTTACTGTGTCTGGCATATCGAATACTCCCGGTAGCTTGCCGGGCTCTCCGAGAGGGGCGGAGGAATCGAACTCGGGTCGGCCATGTTGGCCGCTTGTAAGGCGAACGCCCTACCTGCTGTGCTATCGCTCCTTATTTTTTAAGGTAAAAAAGGTAAAGGCCCTCCCGTTGATCGTCGATTTGCTCGAGCGGGCCCAGTAACGTCTCCATTGGAGACTTTGTTGTTACTGTGTCTGGCATATCGAATACTCTCGGTAGCTTGCCGGGCTCTCCGAGAGGGGCGGAGGAATCGAACTCGGGTCGGCCATGTTGGCCGCTTGTAATAGAGAAGAAACGGATAAAAATTGGCCTTCCATACATGCACCCTAGTGATGGCAGACCTCTGCATCTGCTCAGACCACCAAAGGTAGCCTTTGATCATGAGAGGGAAGCGGCGTTCTTGCTACACCTGAGCTTGGCGCAGCAGCTGCTGTACTTCTCATCTCTCCAAAAGGACTCAGAGTTCTGGCTTTTACTAGATACCAAATGTGAACATAAGAAATAAAAATATCAAATAAGATATTTGATATTAGAAATAATATCACATAAGAAAGCATCAGTCTGATGAGGAAGGATAAAAAAGGACTGATATTATATCCAAACCTTTCATTTAGAGAGGTATAGAAAACAGGGGGTTCCCAGAAAATGAGCTTATGACCTATCTATTCAGCCATTGCATGTGATAATAACACTGCTAATCCTTAATCATTTTTATTAACATACCTCATATTTTAAACAAATCAAATATTTAAGGAATAGCAGTGTCATTATCACAGACAGTCTTCATGTAATTTTCAAATGATACAGAAACAATTGCAGGAATGCCTGAATAGAAAGTTCCATAAGGTCATTTGCTGGGCATCCCCTGTTGATCTAGACAGAAAATATTAGTTATTTCCCAAGAAAGCATTTCCTTAGAAATTGATTCTTGGTTTCTCAGAAGCCTAAAATTCCTAAATTAGTTTAAGAAATGTCAACCACAAGGGCTTGATATCAAGGATATACAAAGTACTGGTTGAACTCACAAGAAGAAAACATCCAACCCCATCAAAAAAAAATGGGGCAACAAAATGAACAGAAACTTTCTCAAAGAAGAAATCCAAATGGCTAAAAGACATATGAAAAAATGCTCCACATCATTAATCATCAGGGAGAGGCAGATCAAAACTACAATGAGATATCATTTCACACCGCAGAGACTGGCCCACATACAAAAGAACAAAAGCAACCTGTGTTGGTGCGGATGTGGCGAGAAAGGACCCTCCTTCACTGCTGGTGGTAATGCCTACTGGTTCAGCCCTTCTGGATAACAGTATGGACGTTCTCAAAAAAACTAGAAATTGAGCTTCCATTTGACCCAGCAATACCATTCCTGGGAATATATCCCAGAGAGGCAAAAAAGTACAGTCAAAATGATATCTGCAATTGTTTGTTCATTGCAGCACTGTCTACAATAGCTAGAATATGGAAAAAACCTGAGTGCCTGAGAACAGATGATTGGTTAAAAAACTTTGGTACATCTACACAATGGAGTACTATGTAGCTGTTAGAAAAGATGAATTCTTGAAATTTACATACAAGTGGTACTACATGGAAAGTATCATGTTAAGCGAAATGGCTCAGAAAGAGCTGGATAGACACAGAAAGATTGCATTCATCTGGGGAACATAAAGCAACAAAATGGGAGACTAACACCCAGGAGTGGCCGAGATTAGTACCAGGAGTTTTTCTCCATGGCTTGGAGGCCAGCCACACATGCTAGGGGAAAAGGCAGCTCAGATAGAGAAGGGAGCACCAAATAAAGGGTGTTGGGAGGACCCTCCAGGATGGGAGAAGCATGCTGAAAGTAGACTATAGACCAAACATGATTGCCACTCAATGCTTCTTTTGCAAACCACAACAACCAAAAGGAGAAAGAGAACAAATCAGAATGCCCTGCCACAGAGACAGGATGGGATGGGAGGGTGGGGGGTGGGAGGGATACTGGGACCCGTGGTGGTGGAAAATGGGCGCTGGTGGAGGGATGGGTACTTGACCATTGTATAATTGAAACCCAAGCACAAAAATTTGTAAGTATACAACTGTATCTCATGGTGTTTCACTAATAAAAATTAAAAAAAAGAAGAAGAAGAAATGTCAGGGCTGGAGCAATAGCACAGTGGGTAGGGCGTTTGCCTTGCATGCGGCCAACCCGGGTTCGATTCCCAGCATCCCATATGGTCCCCTGAGCACCGCCAGGAGTAATTCCTGAGCGCATTAACCAGGTGTAACTCCTGTGCATCACTAGGTGTGACCCAAAAAGCAAAAAAAAAAAAAAAAGAAAAAAAAGAAATGTCAATCAAGTTGCTAAATTATTAGCATGCAAGTCATTACGTACATATAGCATTGAACTACCAGAATGAACCTATCTGATTTTAACACTGAGATTAATGAATCCTCAGTCAAACTACCCAAGCTTTCTAGTTCCTGAGGGAATGGAAGAAACCTGTGCAGATTCTACAGCAAATCTCTGAAAGAAAGACATCAGAGTGACATATTCACCGAGTATGAAAGTTAAAATGAGTTTTCTAAAGAGAACTAAAGCACGGCCAGTCCATAAGTGGGTCAGTTCTGGACTAGACTCTGAGAACAAGACTTTTTGTGAGGAAGAGGCGTTGCGAGTGATGGCTCAGAAGGCCTCCAGGTAAGTGTGGCAGCACATGGCCAACCGGTCCTGCTTTCAGTGTGAGGCCAATGGCCTGAGCTTTGGGCCCTGAGGTTCGAGGGACCACTCAGGTCACACTGGTGGTGCTTGGGATCCCCCAGGAACACTCCCAGTGAGTCCAGGGACAAGGGACAAGTCATGGCAGAGATTAAATAAGGGCTGTGCACCCAAGTTCCTGAGTGTGCCCCAAATGACCAACTAACCCCACGTTACTAACCTGACTAACCCCACGTTAGTCACGTTGGCATGCTCGGGCTTCCGGCAGAACCTCTCTCACATAGTGGGTATTGTAGCATTTCCTGGGAAAATACTTTGAATCTGAGATGACTGTATATGCCTTTATGCTAAAGTGCTGCTACTGATCTTAGTACCAAAACCCCAAAGGGAGAGAGAGGTCTTTGCTCTCTTTCCTACCCAGGCACATCCTGCTCTCTTTCCCACCCAAGGAACATAGTCTTGGTTCCTGACTATCACTGTATCACTGTCATCCTATTGTTCATCGATTTCCTCAAGCAGGCACCAGTAACGTCTCCTTCGTCCTAGCCCTGAGATTTTGGAAAGTGCCACATTCAAGACTCTTTCAGGGCCAGGAGAATGAGACCCATCATTTTTACTGGTTTTTGGCATATTGAACACGCCACGGGGAGTTTGCCAGACTCTGCCGTGTGGGCAGGATACATTTGGTAGCCTGCCAGGTTCACCAGAGTAAGAACTAGATAATAAGATGTCTAGCTTCTGGGAGCAGGGTTCTATAGTCGCTGGGTCTTGGCCATTGGTGGGATTACACAGCATCAGGGAAGTTGGTGGGTGTAACGCCTACATACTGGAAGATGGTGGATCTGGGTGGAGGAGGCCCAGGACCACTCAGTTCCTGACTAAAAGATAGCTATTTTGACAAAGACTGTACTGGTTCTAGTAAAAAAGTGGGTTAAAAGAGGGAAACAGGGATGGAGAGAGAGTACAGTGAATGGAGCCTTTGCCTTGGATGCCGCTCACCTGAGTTCAATCCCCAGCACATATGGTTCCCCAAGTAACACTAGGAGTGGTCCCTGAGCAGAACCAAGAGTAATCCTGAACGTAGGCTGCTGTGACCCCCAAAATGGTGGGGGTACATTAATTAGAAGACATACATACCATATAAAAAGTACTTAATTATTCAACCACTCGTAGATAAATAAAACTTTATATTGCGCAAGGATAAACTCCCAGAACAAGTATGAGATGCTGAGAAAAATGATGACTGAAATTTAATTGTCAGACAGAAGATGGTAGTCATGTACACAAAATTGTCTCCACATATCTGAGTAAGAGTGCACGGTAATGAAATATCACTACGTCAACATGTTTATCAACTGACCCTACCTAAACAAGATCAAGCAACTGTGGCCAATAAATTCTAGGCTTTTTAAATTTTTTTTTAGTTTTTGGATCAAAGACCAGAGATGCTCAGTGTTTATTCCTGGCTCTGCATTCAGTAATTACTCCTGTCAGTGCTCAGGGACCATATGGGATGGTCCTTCCATTTCCACTAAACCTCCCGACTCTTCTAGGATACAGATGTAACTTTCTTACTTCAAGCTATTGTTTTTAGGGTTTGGACAGCTATATGATTCAACTGCTCTCTCATTCTGTTTGCTGTTATATTTTCCAGATTGAAAGCAGAAACTCGTTTATTGTAATTGTGTATCATTGTAGTGGCTAAACATATTTGCTTAACTACACCATTATACACCTCAAAGATTCACCTACAGATTCCTAGATTGAAAATGTTTATTTGCAAATTCATATTGACCAACACTTCCAGAAATCACTATAAATCAGAAGAACAGAGTGCATTAACACATTTGCTAGTGATTCTTTAAAATCTCACACGTTATGAAACCTTATATAGTGTTAACTTCGATTGAATTTTAATGCAAATATGACATATTCCCCAATGTTTTATTCCCAACTGCTGCCACATGGAATACTTGTACGAATGAGTAAAAAATGGCTTCTGTATATTGGTCCCCAGATTGTTAATATTTTCATTGCTGTTGAGACCCATTATCCCAAAGGCTCAATAGCAGCAAACTCAAATTTTATAACGAGAAGTAAACCAATGATATTTTTATGACAAGTTTTCCAAACTAGCCACGACTTGCAAATCTTTAGCTTTCTAGAGCCTACCTGTTTTGCGAACAGCACAGAATTCTCATCCAAAGAGGGTGGCAAGAAAGGCTCTGGTTGGCATAAGACCCCCATTGCAGTTGCTATTTTTTAGGACACAGAAATCCCCAACGCGATGCTGCAAGATACTCTCAATATCTAAGCCCCCCTTCTCAGACCTCGCTCTCCCCTGAGAGCACCCCTGCCCTCTCCCGGTGCTGAGCACAAACACGCACCATGCCTCCACACCAACTTCTCTTAGAAAGTATCCCCATGACCTGTCCACTGATCAAACGCCAAGCAATGAAGTTGGCATGTACTGCTGCTGCTTCTACCTCCTGGTTGTATTTTTTCCCTTCACTGGCCTTCAAATGCCTCAACCTCTCTAATAATACACAGTATTGATTTCTAGAGATTGCAAATAGATTTTCCTGAAAAATCCGGTCCTCTGAAGAGCTTAGCTTGGACATGCTACTTAACAGACTTCGTTACCAGAGAGCATCTCAGAACCGTGTATTGGCATGCTTTGCAAATCTCTGGGAAAGGAATGGAAGTTTCATTGCTTTATGGGATCTTGTCACCAAGGAACTATTCTCTGTGCGTCTTACATGAACAGTAAATTCCAAGCACCTTTGTCCATGAACCAGAGCTCCTTAAGAAACAGCCCGCTCTGGGACTAGGGAAAAGGAGCATTTGCTGTGCTGGAAACATATTTTTGTGCCAGGAAGGAAAAAAAAAACTAGAGGAGTATGAATGTTATGTAAACTGTTTCCATTGGCCAAATCTTGGATAATTTTACCATTAAAATAAGTGATGGTAAATCCCAATTAAATACGGTCACGGTCACGGTCCTCCCGTTGTTCATCGATTTGCTCGAGCAGGCCCAGTAACATCTCCATGGTGAGACTTGTTACTGTGTTTGGCATATTGAATACGTCACGGGTAGCTTGCCAGGCTTTGCCATGCAGCCCAGATACTCTCGGTAGCTTGCCGGGCTCTCCAAGAAGGGCAGAGGAATCGAACTTGGGTCGGCCATCAAACAAAATTAAAATCCATCAAGTTCACATTGTTATAATCAATTAATAATTTTAAGCAGAGGAAAAAGGAAAGTTGTGCCTGACCTAGAGCAGAATGCCAAGTCTGCAATGACAGAATTAGAAAATCATGGTGTGGCATCCGTTATAGGAATAATTGGTTCATGTAAATATTACCAATGAGTGCTAATGTTGGTGGTAAATTTATGAGAACAGAGCACTATCTCACAAATGCAGACTGACTTTGTAAATGTGGCAATGAAGATGTCATGATAAAGCAAAGACCATCAGGGGCTGGAGCAATAGCACAGCGGGTAGGGCGTTTGCCTTGCACGTGGCCGACCCGGGTTCGATTCCCAGCATCCCATATGGTCCCCTGAGCACCATCAGGGGTAATTCCTGAGCACAGAGCAAGGAGTAACCCCTGTGCATTGCCGGGTGTGACCCACAAGGATACAGCCTACTTGTTTCCAGAGCTGCGTGCAAAACTTCTGTTCACATTATTTATAATAAGCAATTAGAAAAATATTCTTTTTCTCATTGTTTTATAAAGCCCACTTAACTGTTTCCATCATAGAATAACTGTTAAGCACAAAATAAAAAGTTTTACCCTCTTTAAGCACCACTCGGGTTGTTCACTAGATCCATCATGTTCAATCCTTATCTTATATATTGCTCCAATGTTCCTTAGCTCAACCTAAATAAAATGCAAAGGAAAAAGTTAGAAAATTTTCAATGACGCATGTTTAAAAATATTTTCCATCTTCTGAAACGCACTCTCTTGCTCCGAGTAGTTGAAAAGATCTCAAAAGCTCCAGAGATGAAGCTTTCAGTCCAGAGATCCTGTTATCACTCCACAAATGATCGGTGGGCTCCACCGAGTATAAGACAGAAGTATCACAAGTCCTGACAAAAATGATGCAGAAGTCAGATGCAGAGTAGGATAAAGAACAAACATATGTTCAGTTTTCAAACAGCGACACATTACTCACGAGAAGCCAAGGTCTTCTATGCTAAATCCCAATGACAGAAAGACAAGATCTTATTTTAAAGGAAAGAAAAGAGATTTTTCATCAAAACTAAGCATAGCTCTTTCTGCAAACCTTAGGGGAAAAAAGTGTTGGTGAGTACAGACCTTCTTTCTAGTCTAAAAATTTTCTTCTTTTATTCATAGGCTAAAATATAGATGTTCAAAACTTAAAGGAGGGGCCGGAACGATAGGATAGCAGGCAGAATATTTGCCTTGCACGTGGCTGACCTGGGTGCGATCCCTGGCATCCCATCTGGTCTCCCAAGCACTGCCAGGAGTAATTACTGAGTGCAGAGCCAGGAGCAATCCCTGAACATCACTGGTGACCCAAAAAGGAAAAAAAAACTCAAAGGAGACAAATAAATCTGCACACAGAGTATGTAAACTTAGTTTTGAAATACCCAAAATTATGTGTTGGTTCAGGTTCAGGTGGCATTTGGGAGAACTGGCTTTGGAATCACTTTGATCCCAACTGGTAGCTAGAACTTCTGCTTACCTGATTTATAGTTTATTGTTATCACTGTGATTTTCAACTTTGGCTTTGAGTATCACCTGGGGCCACTTCTAAAAGTCTATCACCCACACTTGACCCAAGACAAGATTAGCCAGAATCACTGGAAATGGAACTGGTCACCCATAATTTTTAACACCCTCAGCAGTTGGGATGTGCGATGAATACTGAGAATCTAGATTATTTCTTCCAAGACTGGACCTAGATAAATTTTCCCAGGAAAACATTGACGGCTTTTACCAGTCACAAATACACATACCAGAAGCTCACATTAGGGGTAATAGTACTCTTTGGTGGGGGTGACCTATAGATCTAACCTCATCAAAAAAACACTCTAAATTCTGAACAATAAGATTCAAAAATATTATTTGAAGTGAATATGGTCTAAAGGCGTGACTGCATCAAGCAGAGCGACACCTCAGGATGACATATCTGCCTTTCTTTACTAAATGCTTCTTTGCTAATTTACAAACTAAGTGTTGCTGAAAAGACCATACAACAGTCTCAAGTTTGAAGATCTAGAAACCGCTGGGCATGATTTATTTCTTGGTCTGTCGCCGTAAATAGCCTTAGTTTCTTGATGACTCACATTGGCCTCAATAACTCTATTTTCTACCCAGCCTTGGGGTGCATGGGAATATTCTCCAGAGAGGATAACTACTATTTTAGATTGTATCAAGAATCCATATTGCTTTTATCCTGTGGGTGAGGTGAACTAGTAAAGTGAAATGTAATTGGTCTCATCAAAATTTGTCCAAGGCCTGGAGGATCCGGAAATGGAACTTGTGATATTCGGAATGACACTACTGCAAATTCTCTAGGTGAGAATGAGAGAGATTTGAATGGGCACAGGCAGAATACAGCCTCTGAAGATGCCAAGAAAATGATTTCACACCCATACGACTGAGTTGAGCAACTAAAATATAAAACTTGATGCAAAAAAATTTAGAAGGGTTTTCTTTGCCAGATGAATTTCTAAATGGTTTATAACTGGATATAATTTGAACTGAGATGAATGGTTTATGGGGCAAGTTTCAGATCAATGACCTAAAACAAATTGTCTATAAGGAAAGCAATTCTCTTCTACAATATTTCTTGTTTATGTAAGATGAGAAAAAAATAGTTCCTTTGATTAGCCCTAGGATAATTGATAGGGATTCTAAAACACCCTGTTTTTATCTTGTACAATGCCTGTATGCATGCATGCACGTACTCACAGACTCGTAAAAATAGCTTTGAAAATGCTCAAAGAACAACACAACTGCCAATATTATTTACCCGAAATTCATCCTCATGCTGCGCGAGGAAGGGCTTCTCAGGGTCATCCTTGCTAAGACTGATTGGTCCAGCGACACCTTCATCTCCATACACCCAAAGGGTGACATTGGCTCGCGTCCCTGTGTTCCCTGTCAGCACTAACACTTTCCACTCATCTTCTGACAGGAAAGTCTCGCTCTTCTGTGAAATCCTGATTTCTTCTGCGGAACCAGAAAAAAGGCTTCAGTGACAGATCAGATGCAGCATCGGGTTGACAGAAATCTCTGTCATACGCAGCTCAAGGACATCAAAGCAGGGGGGTAGGGCGAGGCCGGGAGGCTGAACCTGCCACAGCGCTAGGGAGTTGATTTGTGCTTGTCTCCTCACGGCAAGGTTCTGGCCAAGGGAAAGGAAATCCTGAAGTAAATTAAAGGAGAACAATATACATCTGAAATGCTGAGCAGTCTTTCACTCACTACCACAGGATGGACTGGTGACAGAATTTGCAGTGCTGGCTGAGGGCGTTCAGAAAGCGACCCACCTGCCTTCCAGATAATGAAAGTAAAGTGGAATTAAAACAAGTTCTTCAAATAGGAGGGAAAAATGGCAAATTCAAGAGAGAAGATTTTCTGAAATATTTCTGGAAAAGGTCCAGCTGGGGTAAGGCAACCCAAAGGCTTGGGTACCGAAGCTACAGTGTCACGAATGTGATCGTTTCTGTGGTGCAAACTATACAGACTGGCGTATGACAGCACTATTGTTTCACAGACACTTTCCATCCAGTGCAGTCCCCACTAATCCCCTCTTGTTTAGAAGAGTTGCCTGTGAAGTAAGGTCCCTCCCTAAGACGCTGTCTTCTTGGCTTCTCTTCAGTCAGCTACTTCCTCTGAACCACTGGAGCATGTGTGAGCCACTGAGCGCATCCCCAACGACTCTGTCTTGGCTGTCAGTGACACATTGATTCTTCAGGAGTATTTCCGATCTTGGGTAATGAGATCAATTTTCTCATGCTAAATGGTTTAAAGGAAATCGAGACACGACGTCCCTACCTTTAGTCCTGCAACTTGAAACTACAGGCAGTCCTAAGGCAACATCTATGTTCCGCTCAAAAACATTTCAACAAAGATGACAACAAACCCAGCATCCGTTGAGTTCGTTTCTGCTACAAAGAACAGTTTTTAAAATAAATATAATGCAAATAATTAACTGCTAAGGAAGAACTAAGATTCCTTTTGTTTGTTTTGCTTTGGTTTCTGGGTCACATCAGGCCCAGTTGGGGTTTGCTCCTGACTCTGAATTCAGGGACCCAAGGATCACTTCCGGTAGGGTTCAGAAAAACCACACAGGTTTCCAGGGCTCTAAGCCCTGTGAGCTCTGTGCAAGGCGACACCACATGTTGGACAGAAGATGGAATTTGCAGCTCTGTGCTGATTTTTTCCCAGAAAGCAACCTGCCTGCCTTTCCTAACGCAATTGGAAAAAGGTGGAACTAAAACAAGCTTTTCAAATAGGACAAAAAAACGGCAAATTAAGAAAATCTTCTCTCCTAATATGCAGGTTGCTTTCTGAGAAACCTCAGCACAGAACTGCAAATTCCATCATTCATCCAAGCTGTAGTATATTCCCTGGCCTAACCTAGTACCCACTGTATTATCTCTTCAGCCTCTGATACTCTTTTTGCTTTTTGTTTTGTTTTGTTTTGTTTTGTTATGTCACACAAGTGATAGCACAGCGGGTAGGGCGTTTGCCTTGCACACAGCTGACCCGGGTTCGATTCCTCTGTCTGTCTCGGAGAGCCCCGCAAGTTACCGAGAATATCCCGTCCGCAAGGCAGAGCCTGGCAAGCTCCCCGTGGCATGTTTGATAAGGCAAAAACAGTAACAACAAGTCTCACAATGGAGACATTACTGGTGCCCGCTCGAGCAAATCAATGAACAACGAGAGGACAGTGCTACAGTGCTATGTGGCACATGCAGTGTTCGGGCAGGGATCTCTCCTGGCTCTGTGCTCAGGGATCACTCCTGGTGATGCTCTGGGGATTATACTCAGTGCCAGGGATCAAACCAGAGTCAGACTCATGCAAAGTAAACTCTCTGTACTATCTGACACCTGACTTTTTTTTTACCTTTTTTAAATTTTTTTTTAAATTTTTTATTTTTTCAATTTTTATTAGTGAGACATCATGAGGCATAGTTGTAGACTTACAAATTTTTGTGCTTGGGTTTCAATTATACATTGATCAAGTACCCACCCCTCCACCAGTGCCCATTTCCCACCACCACGGATCCCAGTATCCCTCCCACTCCCCATCCCCCCCATCCCACCCTGCCTCTGTGGCAGGGCATTCCCTTTTGTTCTCTCTCTCTTATTGGGTGTTGCGGTTTGCAAAAGAGGCAATGGGTGACAATCATGTTTGTTCTATAGTCTACTTTCAGCATGCTTCTCCCATCCTGGGAGGATCCTCCCAACACCCTTTATTTGGTGCTCCCTTCGCTATCTGAGCTCCCTTTCCCCCTAGCATGTGTGGCTGGCCTCCACGCCATGTTAGGAAAGACGAAGTCATGAAATTTACATACAAGTGGTACTACATGGAAAGCATCATGTTAAGCAAAATGACTCAGAAAGAAAGGGATAGACATAGAAAGACTGCACTCATCTGGGTAACATAAAGTAACAAAATAGGAGACTAACACCCAAGAATGGCCGAGATTAGTGACATTTATTTTTTTAAGTTTCTTCCTCTTTGCTCTTCGGAGTAATTGAAACAGGAATTTTTTTCTTTTAAAAGTGTTAATAATAATAACTATCTATTAAGCCCTCCTATATGCTAGACTCTCAGTTGAACACTTCATGGACATTTGTCATCCCACAATGTAATTGAGTCAGTATTTCTTAAGATGGGGAAGAGGCAGAGACGAACCAATGTGCCGAATAATTAAATGATAGAATGCTTAATTATAAATCCTCTAGACGGAGGGGTGTCCATGTGTACCAGGACAGAGAATCTCATACTGTGCTAATACCTTCCTAAGCACTTAATACTCACCACCATGTTACTGAGATCTCACCCCCACAGTGGTCTTGTGAAGTATCGCCCCCATGAAGCACGTGAATTAGCAAAGACTTGAGGGCTAAGCATTATTGCAAGCTGTAAAAATATGTTTTTAATCTCCAGCACAGCAAGATTTAATCCCACATCATTCTTGATGTCATGTCAATATTTGTTATAAAAAAGATAAAACAGAATTGACCCAACAAGATTTTATAAGCAATCTAATTTGCAAAAAGTGAATATTTGAAGAAACATCTGATCTCCCTGACTGTCATTTCTACCCAACGATAGTCAGGGATTTAAAAAATGCACTTTGAATTTCTTCAGACAATAGGCAAGAGGAAAATCATGAAGAAATTTCTTTAGACCATAGGTAAGAGGACAATCGTGAAGGGAAAACTGCAGAAAAGTGCAGGAGTGCATCTGCGACTACCAGCGATCGAGGTCAGAAAATACTTCTTAAATGCTAATAATTTGATTAATATCGTATAACTCTCAGTCATCTAACAGGGTATTTATGAAAACTGTTTAAGGGGCACTGTATGAAGTTCATAGTTCTCTATAATAATGGCACAGAGTTAAATCTTTAAATATAAATGATGTCTTACTCTGCAAAGACACACTGTACCATTATAGTGACATATTTATAAATCTATATGTACATGTTTGGTTTTCAAACATTCAGAAATTTTCAGAGAAAACAAACGAAATGTCGTGAGCTTCAGATGTGGCAGAGAAGAAGGAGTGCTTAACCATGAAAGTGGTTAACTATGATTCACTTGAGAGCAGATAAAACTTCATAGAGGAAACCTCATACTTCTCAATGTTCAAGTATGGAACAGAATTTTCCAGAGAGAGGAAGAGAACTGAATTCCAAATACAAGGAACACAGATGTCTAGCATGAACAAAGGATTGAAATAGCAGGCATACTGGAAGAACAGCTGGCACCTGGGAATAAGCAGTTGACCAAGAAACTACAAGACGCGCTGTACGAGTAGGACCATGTCCAGCATTAAGGACTTGTCCAGCATTAGACAAACTGGAGGGGAACTGGTCTAACTGCCACATGCAGGGGAATATGGAGTCAACCCAAATCCTGAAGCGAGATCTGAAACAGTGGATACTGTGAAGAGCAGGAACAATTAACACAGAAAAATTAACAAAGTGACAATAAGTGACTTATTGTAACTATGACAAAGTGACTCTCAGTAACAAAACAGTCTAGAATAAGGTCCAGAATCCATTGTCACTTTGTTTTAATTTAAGGGGCAACTATAGGTGTCTTATATGTTTTGTTTGATTTATTCCATAAGGGCTGGAGCAATAGCATAGCTGGTAAGGCATTTGCCTTGCATGCAGCCGACCCAGGTTGGATTCCTCTGCCCTTCTTGGAGAGCCCGGCAAACTACCCGAGATTATCTCACCTGCACAGCAAAGCCTGACAAGCTACCTGTGACGTATTCGATGTGCCAAAAACAGTAACAGCAAGTCTCACAATTTGTTGTGAGACGTTACTGGTGCCCGCTCAAGCAAATTGATGAACATCGGGAGGACAGTGCTATAGTGCTTATTCCATAAACAAGTTGTAGTTTCAAGAGCCTCTCTTTGCTCTAACATTTACATAAACATAACACATTGTCAGATGTCCTCATGTTACAACTATTGATTGCTTAATATAGTCTAATCCATACGACAGAACGTTTTTAAGTTTGTGCTGTTATCAATTAAATATGACTTCCATCTAATGCAATGATCGTCTGGAAATGAATCACCCTCCATTAGCCTAGGATCATAAATTCATCAATTCGAGAGTCATCAAACTAGTTGCTTTTTGTTTATTGGCAGTTTAAAAGACTCTAAATGAGGAGATTATTTGAGAGGACATGAATTAATTGCCAGAAAATTTGGGGTTCTCCTTAAATAAAATCAATAGTATCTAAATTTACTCAAATGACTCCGAACCTGGTGGTGATGATGGTCCAGTAGTAGCTTTGTACGTTAGTACCACACAAGTTAACACCACTGTAAACATATCACCTGAACTATGATTTAAAAGTTTCAATATAAAGCAAAACTGTAAAATGTCCCATATCTGACAGCACAGTATACAACGGTTATTATCTAAGTCTAATTTAAAAATCTATAAAACCATAAAAAATAAAATATATTTTCTTTGTCTCGTGCAATATAAGAATATCTATTTCTACAAAATTAACTTGGCTATTCTTGTTTTATTCATGAATTTATTAGTTTACTGATTTAAGATGCAGGCCATCCATGCAAAACAGAGGAAGAACAAGCTGGTAAAAAGAAAACAGTAAACAATATTTTTTTTTAAATCAAAGCTATCACAACATAGTAGAATTGTGAACTAATCTCAAGAAGAATTTGCCGGGGGGCGGGGAGGGAGTAGAACACCCAGCAATGCTCAGGGATTACTCCTGGCTCTGTGCTCAGGGATCACTCCTGGGAGGCCCGAGGGACCATATGGGGTGTCAGGGATCAAACCCAGACCTGGCTCACACAAGGTGCACCTTACCCTGCTGTACTAATTTCTCCAGTCCCCAATTTGTCATGTTTAAAATGACTTAGTCTGCTATTATTTAACTGAAAATTTAGGTTCTGACCCCCTCAAAATTAAACAATAAAATTGGAGAAGGGGCTAATATCCAAAATATACACATATACGCCTTCAAGTTAATAATGAGATACTCTGACTACTCAATGACCACTGCTCATACCATTAAATAACAACAATGCAATTCATTTTTAAAAACGGAAAAGCAAGCTGAGTTCGCAATTTTCCAAATAAAACATACAGATGACATGCAAAAACACGAAAAGTTCCTAAAATTTACTAATCTCCACCAGGAGAAATGCAAATCACAACCAGTAAGTTATCAAGTCACAGCTGTAAAAATAATTTTACTCAACAGAAAAAGGACAAGGACTGGAGAGGACGCAGAGAAAAGGGATCTCTGTGAGATGCACATTGGCAGGCAAATAGGGTTAGCCACTGAAGAAAGCAATACAGAAGTTTCTAGAAAGAAAGAAGAAAGAGAGAGGGAAAGAGAGAAAGAGAGAGAAAGAGAAAGAAAGAAAGAAAGAAAGAAAGAAAGAAAGAAAATAGAGTCACCATATCATCCAGTTTTTTCCTTTCCGGGTATAAAAACAGCCTTTCAATGAGATTCATTCACTCTTGTATTTATTGCAATATTATTCCCAGTAGTCAAGATAGGGGAAAAAACATATTGTCTACCAACAGATGAGTGAATACAGACAGTGTAAGTGTACAATAGAATAAGCAGCCACATAATGTGAAGAATTAGAAAGTGCAAATTTTATTCAGCCATGAAAAAGAAAACTGATATTTGGTACAATAGGAACGAAACTTGAGGATGCTATGTGAGATAATCCAGATAAAAAAAATTTATTATATGATATGGATTTATATATGGAATATTTTTAGAAGTCCAAATAATGAAAAATAGAAATGGGTTAGTTGTAAAGGGCCAAGAAGGGAGAGAATGGGGATAGGAAGTGTGTGTGTGTGTGTGTGTGGGGGGGGGGGGGGGGCAGGGGAGATGTTTAAGGATACCAGCTTGCAAGTAGTGAAAAAAAAGAAAGCACAGTATAATGACTATAGGTGACAATATTGCATCAAACATAAAATTTGCCAAGAGAATAAATCTAAATTAGCTCTATCACAAAAAGAAAAGTGATAATTTTGTGGTCTATGTAGAGGTGCTTGCTCTGATAACATGACAATCACAATGTACAAAGTAAACACAGGTAACATTTTCAAATCCTTCGCTCTATACCAACAGAATTTCACAATATATATATATACATCTATAGCTATTCTCTTATGCATTTTGCTACTCAAAAAAGTAGCTGGAGATTTCTGCAAGCATGCTATTTTCAGCTAGTTAAATTTTGCTTGAAAAGGCCATCTTGACCAAGATTAAATTATGCTTTCATGAAAAACTTCTACTACGCATGTATTTCTCATGTCTCATGAAGTGTAATTTGTCACACTCCTCCGTGGATTCATGACACGCCACAGAAAGACAACATTGGGCTTAATTTAATCTAGCAAATCAAAGGGCTAATTGCCCTTCCCATTAGCTGATGTGACTGTTTCATAGAGTTGCCAGCAAGAGATATTTATTTTCCATTACTCTCTGAAAGAAAAGTGAGCACACTCAATAAACTAATTTTCAGTAAACCTTTTCAAAGGCGACATTATAATGTATCTGTCTACCTCTCAAGATGGGTCTTGAAAAATATTGTTCAGACAGGGGCCCACAATTTTATTTACCCAAATATGATGAAATCCAAATGATGAAATTTGTCAAATATTATTCACTATACTTCCCAGTCAGATAGATGGAAGGTACTACACCTTAGAGCAAGAAAGAGATGAGACCTGCAGATAGCACTGTAGCACTGTCCTCCCGTTGTTCATCGATTTGCTCGAGCGGGCCCAGTAACGTCTCCATCGTGAGACTTGTAGTTACTGTGTTTGGCATATCGAACACATCACGGGGAGCTTGCCAGGCTTTGCTGTGCGGGCGAGATACTCTCAGTAGCTTGCCAGGCTCTCCGAGAGGAGCAGAGGAATTGAACCCGGCTCGGCCAGGCCGGGGCTTGCAATGCAAACGCCCTACCGCTGTGCTATCGCTCCAGCCCAGGAGTAAATAAACTGAGTAAAATATCTAAATGCCAGTTATGAGGAATTCCCAGTAAATGCAGGTCATAAGCTTGCGTTGATTAAGTCCCTGCCCTTTGTACACTGAGACCTACAGATAGAAACTAAAATTTGAAACCTCTAGTATAATTTATGTCTCCATTTCTATAATGTAGAAATAGAGATAATTTTTGTTGTTGTTATTTAGGCTTTGGTGCAAATTTTCTAGCATTCATGAATTTATTATAATTTTTTTTTGGCTTTGAGCCAGACCCCGCAGTTCTCTGGCCTTACTCCCGGCACTGCACTGAGGGCTCACTCCTGACAGACTCAGGAAACCATATACGGTGCTGGGGATTACTAAGTTCGGCTGCATGCAAAGTAAGTGTCCTACCTATGGTTCTACTCTGCAGTTCCTTATAAAATATTTTTAGCAATGGACAAATACAATGCCATTATTAAATATTTTTCATAATCATTGTTCCGGAATAAACATTACATTTAAGATTATTGATCTTAATAGGGCTGGAGCGATAGCACAGTGGGTAGGGCTTTTGCCTTGCAAGCCCCAGTCTGGCAGAGCCGGGTTCAATTCCTCTGCCCCTCTCGGAGAACCTGGCAAGCTACCTAGAATATCTCGCCCGCACGGCAGAGCCTGGCAAGCTCCCTGTGATGTATTCAATATGCCAAACACAGTAACAACAAGTCTCAAAATGGAGACGTTATTGGGCCCACTCGAGCAAATCGATGAACAATGGGAGGACAGTGCTACAGATCTTAATAGCTAAGCGGACGAAGAACCTACGGCTCCGGGCACATCTCTTCGACTCCACCGGTCTTCCTGCACTAACATACACCTCAGAGACCTGGGTCCTATAAAAACAGGAAGAGAACGCTATTCGAGTCACCCAAAGAGGAATCAAAAGAGCTATGCTTGGAGTATCACGCTTCACTCAAGTGAGAGAAAGAATCCGGAGTTCAGACCTCCATCGACGGTCAAGAATCAGGGACGCTGTCTCGTTTGCCAAGGTGTCGAAAATCAGATGGGCCGGACACGTAATGGGATTTGGAGACGACCGCTGGACTAGAGCCGTTACTGACTGGATTCCATGGGATGTCAAAAGATCGCGTGGCCACCCACCTCAGACTTCTTTGTCAAGACCCTGAGCAAACAGTTTGAGGTTCTTCGTGTTCCTGTAGCGAGCAGATTGGGCTACACTGGCACATGACAGGGACAGATGGAGACACTACTGGTGCCCGCTTGAGAAAATTCGTGAGTAACAGGATATCAAGGGATCAATATAATATTTGGTAACACATTTCAATATAATATTTGGTAACACATTTCAATATAATATTTGGTAACACATTTCAAAATAAATGCAATATAAATATAATATTTGGTAACACATTTCAAAATAAATGCATCCTTTACAATGTAAAACTGAACTATAACATTCAAAATATCAATATATGTATGCATGCATGTATGTTTGTGTCAAGAAATCGATCACATTCCTTGATGTATGAGTTCCTAAACTGAATTCAAGGAACACATTTTGAAATTTTGAAATTTTCTTAAATAAGGCAAGATGAGCCCTTAAACCCAAGTTCACAGGGCATCGTGAAACCTCTATCATAAAAATAATACAAAGAAGCAGTAGAGGCAGATCTCAAAAGAAGACAAGGAAAAGTTGGTGCTTACTTGCAGTTGAAAGCATGGAATCTTTGGTCTCAGCTTGTAATGGCATTTCTTGCTGGTTTTTCGATTCATGGCTCTTTCCTAGCTCTTGGTTAGATGATGCAGACATACCCATTGGGTTTTCTCTGCCAACTGAAATTAAGATTTCTTTTAAAGAAATCATCCTCTCAAAAGTCATTTGTTTCTTCTCAGAAAACTCGCCAAATGCTCAGATATGCAAGTTTATGCCTTGCTATTGTTTTAACTTCAGTGACTAAATCAATTCTTTTTAAGTTCAATGCCTAAATGAAGTTTTATTCTTAGCGGCATACTAAATACACATGAGTACTCTTCCTACAAAATCTGTCCATTGCTTTGTAAATACAAGCAGTAATTTAATGCTACAGTATGAATCAAACGACTTATCCAAAATGTTTTTGGGAGATCTTAAATAGGATTTGATTTTTAATTTTTTTTCCTTCATAAGAAGGGAACTGAATAACGTATCAAAAAACACTACACATTGCCCTGCTGAAATATGAGAATAAAAAAAAGACCTATAAACGAAGAAAGCAGTTGCTATTTTTCTGTCTTTCCTTGAGAATAAAACTGTTCTGGTGTCATTCAGAAACTGACGACTCCAATCTTGGTAGACTTGTTTTACAGTATTTATCATGAATGCTATTTAACCATTTTTAATTAGTTTGCATTTTATTATTAAGTATCTGATATAGTATAGCTTTTAAAGGAGTAATAATTTATTCACTATGATTGTCAGATTTTAGGGACTTTATCAAACATAGGGACAATAAGGGACAGTGGCGAATATTGGTCATAGGTGAATATTGGTCACAGTGGTCATAGGTATTTTGGTGTTGGTGGGCTACAGTAATACCGTACATTAATACTATCAACTTTAACAGTACTAAAATCATTACCCAAGTAATAACTTCTAAGAGCTAGATTTCTGCTGGGTTGAAGATAGTACAGCAGATTAAAGCTCTTGCCTTAGAGATGGTAAACCCAAATTCAATTCCCAGCACTGCATATAGTCCCTTAAGCACCCAGGAGTAATCCTTGGGCACAGAGCCAGGAGTTAGACCTGAGCACCACCGGTTATGGCCCCCAAATGAAAACAAAAATTTAAGTAAAATTAAAAGTAAATAAAATGACAATTAGTTCTTCATAACACGACTGCAAACAATGCTTTTTAAAACATGCTAACATGCTTTTTATGATCATACAAGTGTAGATAACAGAATTAGCAGTACTAAGGAGATGTGTGATAGGAAAAACTATACGATGCTGGTGTCTGAATAGCTTGTCCCAGGATTAGCCTGCAAGTATTATAAGATGTAATTTCAGTCAGTAATGTGTTTTTAAAAAGCGAACTCTATACAAAAACATTTCCCCATACAGTTTGTTATTTTCCACACAATGTTTAGACACTGGGAATTTATTCCAATAAAGTCACTTTAAAATTTTAAAGGGGAGATCAGAAATAACTATAAATATGTCCAATCGGGGTAAATAGACAACTGGTAGAGGGAAAAATCTCTAATTTATGGTGCATTTATTATGATTCAATAAGAAACCCATAATTATGTGCCCACATTTTTACATGTAAGAAATGCAAGATTTACAAAGAGAAAATAAATGGTCTTTATGCCGTAAGAATAAATCAATGCATAAGACACAGCTTTGTTACTATATGTTATACAACAATATACAAATTATATGCCAAATATAGATCTAATATATACCAAATTCAAATATATCCTAAATATATGTTTAGATTTAGCATTTCCTATGACATGAGAGCTTGGCCATTAATTTTAAATTCTTTAATTTTATTAATTTAAATCTATTCTTATAGATTCATTCCTACTGAATCTAAAAGAAAGACATTCTAACCCCTTCCTGTCTATAACTCTATGTTCTTGAATTCTCATACATTAACAAAATATCTAATGAGCCTTCCATAACATATTGGACTATTTAACAGCATATCAATGCAAGGAGGTGATAGTGACTTCTACAGATTGGAAATAATAATCAGTATTTTCAGTCATTTTGTTTCATTTATTTGAAGATACAGAATTATTTGGTACATGTTCTTAAACAATCCTTATAGAGATCATTTCTTAATTTAAATATTGAAAGTCCTTGCATTATTTTTAAACTTGTGTTTATTTAGCTAACTTTGGTTATCAAGAGTGCAAATGTCTATCTACTTTAGCAATACAATGCTACCATACCACACCTCCATAAAATGTCCACACTTTCCCCACTCTCTGCCACATTCACACACACCCTATCTGGTAACCTCAGTCTGAGTCACAGTTTAAAGGTTTGGTTTTTTTTGGACATCCCAAGTCACTCCCTTGGCTTCCTTACGAACCACATATGAATGAGATCACCCAGTATAATTATCCTAATCCTTCTGATTTATTTTACTCCACATGACACTCTAATTCCATTCATGAAGCAAAACTTAAGGTTTTATTTCTCTTTTGGTGGAGGGGGGCAGAGAGGATTCCGTCCTAGGCCACTCCCAGGCCACTCTCAGGACTAACTTCTGGCTCTTGGTTGAGGAATCATTCCTGACCGTGTCCAGGGACCTTACAAAGTACTAGAGATTGAACTGAGACAGCCACATGCAAGGCCTTACCCCCTATTCCATTCATCCAACTTTATTTTTTTTCTTTTAGCAGAGTAGAATTCCCCTGAGTGCACACACAAACACACACACACACACACACACACACACACACGTATATATGTATTTTGTTAATAATAGCATTATATTTTAACTTGTATTATAAAATATAACCGAATTATTCAATAACTGTTAATAGTGATAGTAATTACTTAACTGATTGTAACTTAGAAATGGAATCTCTAAATCATATTATAATTTGGGGGGGGTGGGGAGGTTGGTTTTAGTTTTGGTTTTGGCATCATACCAAGCTTGGCTCAGGGCTAATTCCTGGCTCTGAGTTCAGGAATTATTCTTTGTGGTGTTCAGAGAACCATTTGCCATGTTCAGGATCAAATCCAGGTTGGAAATATGCAAGGCAAGCACCCTACCCGTCTCTCTATATTTAATTTTTGAGAAATTGCCATTTTCCATAGGGACTAACAGTTTCAGTCAGACAACAGTGAATTTTTTTTTTTTTGCTTTTTGCGTCACACCCAGCAATACTCAGGGGTTATTCCTGGCTCTGCACTCAAGAATTACTCCTGGTGGTTCTCAGGGGACCATATGAGATGCTGGGAATCGAACCCAGGGTCAGCTGCATGAAAAGCAAATGCCCTACCCACTGTGATATTGCTCCAGCCCCAAACAGTGAATAATTTTTTTCGTTATGCACATTTGAATTTGTTTTTAATGGTATGTTTTTTAATGTAAGCCATTCTCATAGGTGTGAGGTGATACATCATCTTTGAATGTTTGATAGGGTTGACAAGTTAAATCACTGAGATTTTATTTGGAGGCATACCATTGATTGTTTAAATATCATGCTTACAATTTTCCGATTTCAATTTTTATATGATTCTAAACATTTTCCAAAGTTTTCTAAGTTCTCTAATTTGGTGACATAAAGTTCCTCATAAAAGTAATCACTTATATCATCTGTATTTCTGTGATATCTGTTGTACCTCCTTCCCTTTCATTTCTGATACTGTTTAATAAGCTTTTTTCTCCATTTTTTGATGAATCTAGCTGAGGGCTTGTCAATCTTGTTCATTTTTTCAAAGAACAAGCACTTGTCTATTGATCTTTTGCATTGTCTTATTATTCATGCTCTTATTTTTATTATTTCTCTCTTTCCCTGATTTGGGGTTTCATTTGATTTTTTTTCCAGTTCATTAAAGTGTGCAATTATATTGCTTGTTTAAACTTTTTCTTATTTCCAGTTGTAAGCCTATATTTCTACAAACTACCCTTTTGGTATTGCTTTTGTTGTGTTTCATATGTTCTTATTACTCATGTCTTCATTCTCATATGTTTTATAGAACTATTTAAATTTCATTTTGATTTCCTCAATAACATGTTGTTTAGTTTCTCTATATTTGCATTTTCCCAGCTCTCTTTGTGTTTAATTTCTAATATTATTCCATTGCCATCTAAAAAGATGCTTGATAAGCTTTTACTATTCATGACTTAATTGACACTTTTATGTCACAGCATGTGGTCTATTCTCAGGAATGATCCATGTGCGCTGGAGAGAATGTGTAGTTAGCTTTGAGGTCCTGGGAAGCACAGAAAATGCCTACTGATCTCATATTTTTACTTCTATTTGAGAACTATTGTTCTCATATTGATTTCCATTTGTTGTTTTTAATTGAAATGGAGATCATTGCAATTCTAGTATTCAGTAGAATCTTCAAAAATGCTTAACTTACAGAAGATGATGTCATAATTGTCCTCATGGATTAATCCAAGTAGGAAGAGCTTGCTAAGCACAGGAATTTGCATTTGATAATCATAGGGATGACTTAATATATAAGCCTAGTGCCTGATAGCACAAAGTGAGAGTGAGAGAAAACTTCGTATAACAAGGACAAAAAGACTCTGTGTTAACTCCCGCAGGGTTAATGACTAGTGCAAAAACACACTTCTTCTTTCTGATACTGATAGAATGATAATGAAACATTGACATTAGAAAGTCTATCATTATCGAATTGGAGAATAATTTCAATTCTGTATTTTGTGCCAAAAAGCAGTTTCAATCCAGTGAGGAAATATATGTGTGGGGGTGTATGTGTATAGATGAATTGTCATCCAACCTTTATTTTCAATAATAAACAGTAAAATATCCAACATTAGGGACTGATTAAATAATTTATGCTAACTACATCAATACAGCTTATTAGAAATTGTAGCATAATTATATTTATATTATTAATATCATAAAATACTATGTTAATACCATGTGTGTTGCTAAGTGATTTAAGTTATGGTTCAGATAAATTTTATAATATTAATATATGAGTACAGGTCCAGGGCCCAAAACAATAATACTGTGGGTACGGCACTTGCTTTGCACTACTTTTTACCTCTGGATAGACTTCTGTATGAGCATATCTTCAAAATTTTCTAGAATTACATGTGCTGTTGGCACAATAAAAATTAAAAATATAGGGGCTGGAGAGATAGCACAGTGGGTAGGGAGTTTGCCTTGCACGGGGCCAACCCGGGTTCGATTCCCAGTATCCCATATGGTCCCCTGAGTACCGCCAGGAGTAACTCCTGAGTGCAGAGCCAGGAGTAACCCCTGTGCATCGCTGAGTGTGACCCAAAAAGCAAAAAAAATAAATAAATAAATATATAAATATATTATAAATGTCTATTGACCGTTTAACAAATTTAGGATCAGAAAAATTAGCCCCAGCTCTACTAACTATAAACTGATTCATAAAAAATGGGGGTACTCTTTTTTATTTTTGTTTTGTTTTGTTTTGTTTTGGTTTGGTTTAGGGTTCTTAATCTGGCCGTGCTCAGGGCTCATTCCCTATGGGGCATAGAGTACCACATGCTTGCAAGCAACTACCCTACCCACTGTACTGTTTCCTCAGACTGGGAATATTCTTTTCTAAAAAAACACTGTCAAATAATCAAAGTAAAAACTTAAGACATCTAAAACTTAAAATATCTACTCCAAATGAAATTAAATGATAGAACATATGCTTTATAGTTTCTGACAAGAAATAATCATCCACAAAAGTTAGTTATTATTACTGCATCAAGAACTTCCACCTATATTTACTCTCTACCCAGCTCTCAAGGGTAGATAGCGATGGCATTCCTGCGATCCTGATTACACAAGACACAGAAACCTAATCTGCCCAGTATCAGTTGGCTTAACTTATCTATCTTACTATCTTACAGCTCAAAAACAGATTTTTAAAAATTCAAGTCATTCATACTCTATAATAGATCACATATAGAGCCCTAAAAAAATGATTTAATGTCTTTTAGTTCTACTGGTACTAACACCCTAGGTTCGTAAACATGGCCTTTCATCATCTATCATGTACTGACGTAGATTGTTCTTCCTTCTTTGTGTCTCCTTTCTAATTATTGCTATCTCGTCTTTCTCTTCATCCCTCCTTCCTTGGCATTAGCTCTCTTCCCTGAGTCTACCAGCATCATTTCTGTCTATAACTCTTTCTTGTGGTCTTCTCTTCTACTCAACCCTGGATCTTTCTGCTTTTTTTTCATATCAGCTATTTCCCTTCAGAGCTCCAGAAACAAACGGCACACCCATTTTGTTGAGCTGGATTTTAATTGCCAGCCTGAGTCAACACCAATGGGTAAAGGGAATAGAGACCTAGGTGGCAGCGAGTTGAGGTCGACTCCTCCAGGAAGTGCAGAATTCCGATTATGCAAACCAAAGGCTAGCAAGGTATTGATGCAGGTCGCACAAAGAACAGGATCCGATGTACCATCATGGTAAAACAAGTTCCTTGGTTCTTACTTTAAATGATCTTGTGCAGAATATAATATACTAACCATTGTATATATGTGATATTCTATAGGATACTATTTACATCAGTATAAAGCAAAGACTAATAAAGAAGATAAATAAAATAAGAGTCCAACATATTTGCTTTATCTATTAAATAAGAAAATCTTGTAGATTTTCATTGACCAAATATCTGTGATACTTGTAAAAATTGCATAGTCAATTGAATTTGGGGTGATTTAAGAGCATAATAGAGCTGTATCATTGACTTTGTGTGTGAGAAAAATGTAGTCTAAGCTTAAACTGTTAAAATAAAGTCCTTGGACCCTTATTGCAGTTTGCTAAAGGGCTAGAACTTAGATGTAAGAGAAACCAGATTCAAACTCTTCACATTTCAGTCTTTTCCATTCATTTTTATTCCAGCGTTGGGTACATTATTCAGCAAATATGAAGTAGCAAACTTTAATTATTGTAAACTTTGTAGCTCAACAAAAATTTTAAAAATGACAATTTTATTAAATAAGTTCATTAATTTTTAAAAGAAATTATGGTGTACATGCACAATGGAATACCACTCAGCTATCAGAAAAGATGAAATGCTGCAATTTGCTCCTGCGTGGATGGATTTGGAAAGTCCCAGGATGAGTGAAGTCAGTCAGGGGGGGAGGGAGACCAACACAGCATGATCACTCTTATATGTGGGATATAAAGAAACACAGTAAGTGACTAATACATGCCTAGAGGATACAGAATTTGGAAATCAGACCATGGAGCTGAGCTTTCCAAGGGACATGGGATGGACGGGAGGGGACTTTGGCACAATGGAAGAGGGACACTGACACATTGGTGAAAGGTGTGGTATTACAACATTACATACACAAACCTACTCACAATATTGTAAATATACCTCAAGAAAAACTGGGCAAGGAGGAGGAAGTAATGGCGTTGAAACTGAGAGTTTCAGCCTCAGGTACTCTCTATGTAAATGGGTATCTCTTCAATTAACAAAATACATATATCTGTGCTTATACACAACCAGGACATTTACACACAAATGCACACACATACACACCATTTTGAACACTATGAAGGAAGCTAATTGCAGATATAACACTATACTTAATATGAAATATCGGAGAATTGGAAAGAAGTGGTCACCTCTGAGGGTTCCCATTCCTGTCTTCCATTGCCTCTACAACAGCAATAGCCAAAAAAAAAAAAAAGATGAACATAGATTGGTCTGCTAAAAATGCCATGAAACGATCAGACATTTCACACGCACCTTCACTAAAGCAAACTAAATGAAAGTATTTCTAAGTAAACGTACATTTGATGAGTTGTGGAAAAAAGAAAACATTCGCATCCTTAGTATAAACAACTGGCTTTGTCTTTCCATCAGGTTGAAGTCCAACAAACAACCCTGGGCTCTTCACCGATTCCAGGCTGATAGATGCATTTTCTAAGTTCTTCTTAATTTTAAAGTGGCAGTCAATGTCTCCTGTTCCCTACAATCAAAGCGAGTTAATTAATATGAGTAAATACAAGGCAGAATTTAAAGCCAGTCCCTTCAAGGAAAGTTATTTTTGCTTTGTTTACGAATCCCTCCACAAATACAGAACAATTTTCAAAAATTGCATATCTTAAGCCTGTTCCAGGAAGAGACTTTATGATTCGCTGAGACAAGCACTTATGAAGCACTTGGATGACAGAGCAGTGGAAATAAAGGGAACACAGAACATGCTATACTTCATTTCAAAGCTTTCTACCTTGGGGAATAAAGAACACTGAAATGTGAAATCTTCCTTTAGAAAAATACCCTAAAATTCAGATAAAAAGGGGGGCATTTTTACCAAATGCCTACTTACGTTTAAGCCAATTCACCACTCTTACAGCAAAATTTCACCAGTAAATAGAGGTCATACAAATTATTCAGACTAATAAATAATTATAGAATTAAATGCCAGGAGAGATCTATATCATCTCAGATAATCAACATCATCCCTTTTTTAAAAAACTTATCATCTAATATACAATTTTTCATACTTTGTTGCTGTAAATTTTTTCTAATTAGAGTTAGTATTTCTAGAAAATAATTCCTAGGAGTAAATTAAATTTTCAATCTCAAGCCAATCACCTTTTAGGCATTTAAATACTCTCTTAATTATCTAAGAAAACAGAGCTTAGCCACATTCACTGCAGTCTCCAAAAACAGCTGTTCCAAGGGAAAATCTATACGAAAGTGCTCACATGTGCTTCCAGCGCATATAATGTATTTTTGTCTTCACTTTTACTTTCTATTGTCATGGTACTTGGGGGTCACATAGATTAGGCTGGCCAGGGACAGTCTTAGACCATCAGAGATTTTATGCCTCTTCTTGTCACGAGAGCATCTTCTGGTCCCGTCTTTGAAGCCCCAGGTCCCCAATTCATTTATTAGCTGGAGAATAAAAGCCTGGAATTCTCCTATTATACCAGAACTTACTATCCGAGTAAGTTATTTATAGATATGTAATTAAGTTGTAACTAAGTCGAATGTCTAATGTCTACTTTTTTTTTTCTCTTTTTGGTGCTAACAGCTAGAGAAGAACCCAGAGAGATAAGAGGAAATTTTCCTTTTTCCGTCCACCTTTTCTAGTTTCTATAAATTAAATTCTTACCAATAAATAAGTTCTTGCTTGTATGGCTACTGATCACTCTTTAGTTTGTCTTTTCTATAAATTCTGCATGTTTGCTTTTGCTTTATGTTCTTGGTTAGTGATGAGTTCCACCCATGTTGCTTTGAAGCTTATTTTTCTCCTTTAAATTAACAACCTTCCAATTCTCCCAAGTGAACTACATCCTGTTTGTTGCTAACTCAAATCTCTATAACATCAAAATCTATTAAATTGATTTACTCCTACAGCATACAATTTTATGGTGACAGAAATAGAAACATTTGTTACAGGATCAGCATCACTTGATTTAAATGTAAATGTGTTTGCTTATAGAAATATTTTCAAATATACAATGGCAGGCACATTAGAAATATTAATGCTTTATTTCGCTCTATTCCATTTATAAAATAAGAGTTTGTTGTCTAGCTACCAGGACTGAGGCACTGTTGTGCCTTTTAAGATACAGTGACAGGAGCAAGTGCTGCCATTTACCTTTCAATGTGTCTTAAATACCTGTGGAGGTTGTAAAGAGATCTACCAAAGCTCTTAATACATGCAAACCAGGGTAATTAAGACGATTCTTGGGGCCTGGGAAGTGATTCAAACAGTAGTTCTGACTCTGTGTTTGAGGACCTGAGATCCTTCCCCAGATATGCAGAGTGCGGTTCTTAAGAATCCAAAGAACAAGAGTTGATTGCTACCATTCTGTTTTCAAGATGTTCTTCCAGCCTGGTACTTCATGATCAGACAGTGAAAGTGCAAATGATATGTTTGATCACCACGTATCAATGCTATTTCTTCCAAGTCATAAAAGCAGATGTGCTTTGATTGAAAAAGACACACTACCAAATTTCAGAAGAATTTCAATCACACAACCGAATCACTGCATCTTCTGAATCAGTGGTAAATAAAAATAATAAAATAAAATAGAATCCTAAAATGGAAGTAGTAGAAGTCAGATACTTTTGAGTTCTGTGGAGGCTTGTAGCCACTCACATACCAGAGTCAAGATTAAACAGCATTTGTTTTCATGGTTGGCAACATGAAGAGATGGCCTCAGCGTCCTCCAGCCCTGGCTAATTACATCAGTCCAATACGCACAAAACAAGCAACACAGCAGAGGCATGAAGGAAGTCTTCAGTAACCTCACTGGGTGGCAGGTGTAGGAAACCACAGCCATGGACTCTATCCTGTTGAAAAACTAGTATAGGACCCACCTGGACCATGCTGAAGGAGAAAGGCATTAAATTCGAAAATCCTTCAACCCTGACTAATCTTTCCACGATTGTCCAAAGGGAGCCATTAGCTCATTTGTCTGGGCACATTCTAGGTCAAGATACATTCATTCTACTGTCTTGTCACCAGACAAGTTGTCCCAAAAGCAGCTGTAAAAAATATCCCGAAGGCGAAAACTTTGCTGTGGTGTTTGGAATCACCTCACCCAGGTAGGCAGACCCTGTCCCCTCACGGAGCAGACCAGTGTCCCCATTTCCTTATCATGGACCTTTGACCATGTGCCATGGGCCCACTCTTAGGTTTGGCTCTGTCTGTTGAATGGTGAGAAAGTTCCTTAACTGGGTTCACACTCAGATCTTTTGCTAGCGACTGATTATGCCAATAATTCTTCTGTGGCTGCATAAGTCTCCTCTTTCAAATTTGGTAAATTTCTGTCTATCTTCCTGTGCTCACCAAATTCTTTCACTCGAATGCCAATGACTGATTCTCAGTCTAATCATACATGACTGAGTGACCCAAAAGTACATAGGAAGAAGAAAGCAAGATTCCCTAGTATAAAGCAGAAAAACATAAGATTTCCCCATACATCTGTAGAGAAAATTTGCTCAGCTTATCTTTAAGCTGCACATTGGGGAATGGAAAATGGAAGAGACAGAGAGAGCCTCAGAGATTGCCAAGGGAAGAAAAAGTCTGCAAAGAGTATGAAAATGACTGTTCAAGTTGAAACAGCTAACTAGGAAGTGATAAGCACATTCTTTGGAGGCAAATTACCAATATCAGGTGACTCCCAGTTTGCAGTGACACTTATCTATGCCTTCCCACTCTCACAAACTTTAAACACACGGACCCCAAAGCAGGTGCCACAGGGTAACACACCATCCTTCTCAAAGCTCTGATTATTCCTACACAAGCCAGAAGGGAAAAATTTGTGCATTTCAGTGTGCGTTGATAGCATGAAGCTTTTACTTCATGGATGATTGAGCATTATACATCATACTTTCTACCTGGCCTGAGGAGTTATGCTGCTTATATTTCATCTCAATGCTCATAACAGTTGAAAGACTGTAAGTATTTTGTTATGTCTCTGAAGCATGGTTCTCCCTTTCTTGAGACTTAATATCATCCACTTCACTAAGCACTTTCAAGATGGTTTGAAGGGAACAGGAGCTCAAACCTGCACCTACATGGACCCAAGGGCTGGGTGATAAAACAATTTTCCAGGAGAGCAGGATGGTTTAGGTGGAAGCAAAGTTTACTGGGAGAGAGTCCACTGGTCAGACAACACAGCAGAGACCACCAAAGAGAGAGACCCACTTGGCATGTTTGGGTGGAATCTTTTATTGTGTGTCTCTGGGTTACTTAGGTTGGATATTTCTGCTTTCTATAGATGAGTTAATTCTGGGAAGTGAATGAGCAGGAGATAGGGAGTCAGTTCTGGAAAGGGAGTGAGATGTCTTTAAGATGCTAGATGCTCTGAGTCAATCACAAACAAAGAGGAGATGTCTATAAAACAGTTGGAGCCTCTCCCAAGAAGCAGTCAGTGTCTGGGCCAATTCTAGGAACTGCACAACCACCTGAGCAGCAGTGGGGCATCGAGGGTCTCATGGGCAAAGCTCAGTGTGGAGCCGGATCTGCCTTTTCAGATACGGAAATTACGTGAGGCATCCTTGCAGGGTCATTACTTCAGGTCATGAATGTATATTAAATGTGAGTAAAAATTTGCTTAACTTTCCTGTACCAATTCGTCAGTGGAACTCACCAATCTCAGCCTTGTTAGTCTAAAACAAATTCAGAAACTCAAAGAGCCATGGATGGTCTGAGAAGCTCACACAAACTTCACCCTAGAGTCTGATGTCATACAGGGGAGGATAAGAGGCAGGGAGGGAGCATCTCTCAGCTTACCAATGAGTTACGGTATTATATCACAACTTCAGACAACAAGAAACAGAGTATTAACAGGAAATTAAATGTGTGATCTTATATGCACTCACAAATCACAACAAATCACAAATCACAAATCATCCTGTTAATCATCGATTGCCTCGAGCAGGCCCCAGTAAAGTCTCCTTCATCCTAGCCCTGAGATTATATTCAAGGCTCTTTAGGAGAATGAGACCCATCATTGTTACTGGCATTTGGCATATTGGGTATGCCACGGGGAGTTTGCCAGACTCTGCCGTGTGGGCAGGCTACATTCGGTAGCCTGCCAATTTGCCCAAAGTAGGAATGAGATAATAAGATGTCATAATAGGATGTCGGTTCTGGGAGCTGGTTTTTATAGTCTCTGAGTCTTGGCCACTGATGGGATTACACAGCGCCAGGGGGCCAGTTGGTGGGTACGACCCCCGCCTACTGGAATTTGGAGGATCTGGGTGGAGGATGCTCGGCCCAAATCCGAGTAGGCTTGGAGATCTCGGCCCCGGAACCCGAGTGACTTTGTCCCTCTGCCAGTACCTTCATGTGTGCGGAGAGTGGTCTCAGCATGGTGGTGGCTGGTCCTGGAGGTCTTTGACTATATGCACTCAATCAGTATAATTGATTACTTGATTACTTGACATCCCGTTACTCATCGATTTGCTCGAGCAGGTGCCAGTAATGCCTCCATCTGTCCCTATCATGTGTTAATGTAGCCCAATGGCATCTGCTCATTCTAGGAACACGAAGAGCCTCAAACCGATTGTTCAGGGTCTTGATGAAGAAGTCTGACCATCTCATAGATGGGCGGCCACGCAATCTTTTGACATCCCGTGAAATCTAGTCAGTAATGGCTTTAGTCCAGCAGTCGTCTCCAAATCTCATTACACGACCAGCCCATCTGATTTTCGATACCTTGGCAAACGAGACAGTGACTTGATTCTTGACCGTCAACGGCAGTCAGAACTCCAGATTCTTTCTCTCATTTGAGTGAAGCGTGATACTCCAAGAATAGCTCTTTCAATTCCTCTTTGGGAGACCCGGGTAGCATTCTCATCCTGTTTTTGTAGGGCTCAGGTCTCTGAGGTGTATGTTAATGCAGGAAGAACAGTGGAATCAAAGAGATGTGCCCAGAGCCGGAGGTTCTTCATCCTCTTAGCTATTTCTTCGATGCTCTTGAAGGCTTTCCAAGCCGCTCTCTTCCTCCTGCACAGCTCAGGTGCCAGGTCATTTGTCATGTTGACTTCTCGACCTAGGTACACATAGCTGTTGCATTCAGAGATGGTCGTTCCGTTGAGAGCAAATGGAGCGTCAGGAAAGAGGCTGTTTCTCATAAACATTGTCTTCGTAAGATTCAGCCGTAGTCCAACCATTCCACACTCATTTCATCGGTAAAGAAGCAAACAGCACCCGGCCCAGACAAGGTCAGACCCGAACACCGAAGAATCTGCAGTCGTTACTCATCAATACACTGGCTCGGCTCTTCACACGCTACCTGTCTGAATGCAAGGTTCCATCCCAATGGAAAACCAGCAGGACTGTACATTGGACTGTACCCGATCTGCCTGTTGTCTGTCATCTACAAGCTGTTCACTCGAGTCATCCTGAATAGGATTGGCAGAACACTAGATGAAGGACAACCATGCGAGCAAGCCAGGTTCCGCAAAGGATTCAGCACCATCGACCATATCCACACGATAACCATTGTTATCAACAAGCTCATTGAGGTTTCTCGGGAGTTCAAGATGCCGCTCTGTTTAACGTTCATTGATTTAAAGAAGGCCTTTGATTCTATTGAGATGGAAGAGGTCATCAAAGCCCCAGCCAAATAGGGCATTCAAACTCAATACATCAGGATCCTCCATGAGCTGTATTACAGATTCACCACCAGGATCTCACCATTCTACAAAGAAGTGATCATCGATGTCAAGAGAGGAGTTTGGCAGGGTGATACCATTTCACCGAAACTCTTCAAGTGCCACCCTCGAGAACGTCATGCAACAACTGGAATGGGAAGGAATGGGAGTGAAGATAGACGGCTGGCAACTACACCACCTCTGCTTTTGCTGATGACATCATTCTAATAACACCAAACATTAGCCAAGCAGCACAAATGCTGGCCGACTTCGACTGTGAGTGTGGAAAGGTCGGACTACAGCTGAATCAGTATAATTACAGACTCATAAAGGATATTGTCAGTTATCTTCCATATATATCCTTTCCTAACACTCAGTACATTAAGGAAACATGAACATTTAGATTGTTTTCCAGTTTTGGTCATGGGGGATCCTAAGTGGTGCTCAGGAGACCGAGGGCGCCTCCCTTTGATCTCAGCCACCAGATGACTCTGTCATTGGGAAAGCCCAAAGATGCCGTACTCCTTGGGGCCTGCAGTGCCAGAGAAAGCCTGCTCTATCCTAATGATGTTCCAGGGATTCATCCAGGACTGTGCAGGAATCTCTGGGCTGCACCTGCAATGCTCAGGGAGGTCTGGAATTCTGGGACTAGAATCAGGGTTAGCTGCATGTAAGAAGTTAACTCCTTGGGGCCAGAGTGATAGCACAGTGGATAGGGCCACCTTTCACAAACATCCCATATGGTTCCCCAAGCACCGCCAGCAGTAATCCTGAATGCTGATCCAGGAGTAAGGCCTGAGTGTTGCTGGGTGTGAAACAAGACCCTTCCCTCCAAAAATGCAGTAAACTTTTGTACTATGTCTGTGACACCTATTATTTAGAATTTTTTTGTGTGACCCAAACTCAAAATTAAGGGCTTTCATGGTAGAAATTCAGGCACCAAAAGAAGCAATATTACTGAGGAAATAATATTAAGCTGGACTCAATAATATAGAGCAGAGTTTCCCAAATGTATTTGATCTATTTTCCCCTTTATAGGAAAAAAAATTACTTGGAACTCCCTTGGATATATATTCATTAAGTGAAGAAACAGAAAGCTCTCCTCAATAGTACATGAAGTTACTACCTTCTCCTGGACTATTCTCGAGGCCCCGTCTACAAGGTGGGGAGCTTCTCTGCCCACTTTGAGAAAGATTGTTCTAGAGTCTCCATCCTCAAAGCTCCTTGAAGCGTGATTTGAGGACCTGCCTCATGAAGAGCAGGAAGCATGTTACCAGTACAAACATGTTACACAGCTCTGAGCAGTTGCTCACCGTTCCATCACACTGGCCATCCTTAATCCGCAGATACATCCGGGCCTGCTTCAGACTTTCAAACATGCAAACGCCGGAGCTGATTTTATGCACTTTCCAGTACGAGTTTTCAGATTGACTTCCCACTCCGGTGCAGGACCCGTCAGACCGAAGACACAGGGCCTGGCATAGGTTTGTAGCCAACAGAATCACCGCACTGTTGAGAAATATACCCTTTGAAGTAACAAACAGAATCGAATTAAATGATATTTTGGGTTCATTCTATTTATGACAATCATTATTGTTGAAGTGTAATAGTGGACATTGGATACTAAGAGGATTTTTTTTCTTTTTGGGTCACACCCAGTGATGCACAGGGGTTACTCCTGGCTCTGCACTGCCAAACACAGTAACAACAAGTCTCACAATGGAGACGTTACTGAGCCCGCTCGAGCAAATCGATGAACAATGGGAGGACCAAGGGTATAAGTGTTAGAAAAGTTAAATATACTTCTTTTGGATATCCAAGTGTTAGGTTCTCGAGCCTTCTTTTTGTTTGATTGTTTGGGATGGAGACCCACACTCAGCTCTGCTCAGGGCTTACCCTGGGCTCAAGGATCACTGCTGGCTTTGGGGGCTCAGAAAGGTGATTATTCATTGTAGGAGATCAAACACTTGGCCTGCCTTGTGCAAGGCAAACAAACGCCTTCCTCCTGCGCTATTTCTCTGACCCAAAATTCTCTACATTGTTATGAAGAAAATTCCCATCTTTAGTTGGATGTGAGACCCAATCCCTGCACCCCCATCACTGCTCTCCTCCAAAGTTCAGGTAGAACAGATGAGAACAGGCGTCAAAGGCACCTAGTGGAAAGAGGGTGCCTTGCTTCTTTAGTCGGTGGAAGTTCTTTTCTGAGCACAACTGAAGGAAGCTATTTAGTCAGAAAAACTCCCACCACTGCCATCCGCTTACCTTGACAAACACCACAAATTCTTTGGAAAGGTCTGCGTAGCCCCCTGAAGATTCATCAGCTCTTCTGCCCTGGCGATCAAAAATGATGGTGTGCCCGGGAGCCCGTGCAGACTCCAGGATGGCCCCGCGGCTGGGCTGGTGCAGCACCCGCAGCTCCGCCGAAGGCCCACCGGCAGCCTAAGGAGGACCAGGAGTGAGCCAGGAACCGACGGCCACACCACTCTGAAAGCGCCCATCTCATCTGAATTAGCTACAGGGAGTGGTTTTTGTTTGTGTGGGGGCCATTCCCACTCTGTCCAGGCCTTACTCCTGACTCTGGGGGTTCATCCCTGCGGGTACCAGAGGACCATAAGGGGTGCAGGGACGGAACCCGCATCAGCTGCCTCCAAGGCGAACACTCGCCCCACTGGACTGTCCTTCTAGACCTTGCTGTAGAGAATAATTGGATCAAAAGTGTCCGGGTGGCCCCACGCAATACCAGGCCTGTATAATGCGGTTGCTGATACCCAGGCTTGATTTACGCTGTTCTGGTCCAAGGACTTTCTTCTTTCCTGCATTTCATGGAACCCAGGGTAGACTGCAGGGGAAAACTCCTCTGGGGGCAGGATAATTTAATGCACTGCTGATCTGTGCTTAGCTGCTGTGTGTTTTCCATTTCAGACAGATCTTTCTAATTCAAGATTATTTGACACTAAAGGTTAAAATTTAGTTACAAATTTCACTAGTTTTTTTTTTAGTAAAATACCATGAGATACAGTTGTAGACATACATATTTTGTGCTTGGGTTTCAATTATATAATGATCAAATACCCATCCCTCCACCAGTGCCCATTTCCCACCACCACGGATCCCAGTATCCCTTCACCCCATATCCCCCTCATCCCACCCTGCCTCTGTGGCAGGGCATTCCCCTCTGTTCTCTCTCTCCTTTTGGGTGTGTGGTTTGCAAAAGTTTTGTTTTCTAGAACACAAATACTCGCTGGAGGCCAGATACTGTGTGCAGTCTAATCCCATGTCTCTCAGTGCCCCAGGGGGAAGGTTGCGTCTCATGGACACCGTGGGCCTCTTGAATGATTCAGGCAAGGACAGGAGGTCACCAACAGCAGAGTAAACAACAAAACTCTTCACTCTGCGAAACCATGGTGTTTGATGAATACATCAGCCATAAGCCGTGTGGGTGAACTGAGAGGATCATCAGCAACTAAGTGAGACTCAGGCCCAGGGTGAAAGACTTCTGAATAACCACACGGGTCTCATAACAGTTACAGGAAACCTGCAGCCAATCTGGAGGGAACATTTAAGCTGAGAAAGCAATACAAAGCATATTTGGGTGAAATTTGAGCTTTTCCCATTAATAATAAAGCTCCTGAAGGGGCCCTTGAGAAGTCAGAGTGTCTTCTCTTAAAGGCTCAGGAATCAATCAGAGCCATAGTACAGCGGGTAAGGCCCTTGCCTTGTGCGCAGCCAACACGGGTTGGGTGCCCAGCACCCCATGTGATCCTCTGAGCGTGCTGGAGTGATCATTGATCTCAGAGCCAGGAGGAAGCCCTGAGCACCACCAAGTATGGCCCAGAAACAGAAATAAATAAATAAATAAATAAATAAATAAATATAAAAACTCATTAAAGTTTGAGCATGATCAGAGGAGTGGTTTATTGTTCATTTTTGGCCTACCTTTTTATTATTAATGTTTAGACCTCGGAGAATGGAGTAGTAACAAGGCAGACAGTGAGCTCCCTGGGACTCCTGCAGGCCACCCCCTCAAACCACCAGGAGGGATCCCTGAAGTCAAAGTCAGGAGTAAGCCCCAGCACTACCAGGCATGGCCAAAAACAATCAAAGAGCTAAGGCAGGGGCTGGAGAGATAGCCCAGCGGGTAGGGCATTTGCCTTGCACGCAGCCAACTCAGGTTCGATTCCCAGCATCCCATAAGGTCCCCTGAGCACCGCCAGGAGTAACTCCTGAGTGCAGAGCCAGGAGTAACCCCTGTGCATCGCCAGGTGTGACCGAAAAAGAAAAATAAAACTAAAATAAACTGCCTATGTTTGAAAACAAGAACCCAATGCAAAAACGCATTCCCCATAAAATGCAATACTAGGGTGTCTATACACACATGTATGATAAAGATAAAAGTTACTACGTACCATCCCAGTGACAGAGCCATTGTCAAGAGCAAGTGAAAGGTGCCTTATCTCATGACTTTGAAAAATGCATATATCTCCTTTGTGGAAAATAACATCAAAGAGGCCTGGAAAACATGTTAAGTATTAACAAGTCATTCATTTTTAAAGCTTTTCTTCTTAGTCAATTATGCACTCAAATCTCCTAACAGTATATGTTATGATCTCTCTCAGTTAAATGCTTTTAATTAGCCAAAAGGTAAAATGTCAGGGCCAGAGAGATAGTGAAGAAGTTAAGGTAGTTGACCTGCCTGCTGGCACCCAGGTACAGACCCTAGCCTCAAATCCCTGAGCTCCACTGGAAGTCACCCCAATGCACAGTGTCAAGAGCAGGTCCGAAAGATTTTAAATAAGGGTTATTTTGAAAATATCTGCCTTATATCTTTCTAACGTCTCTAACTTAGATGTTTGTCTCCTCCTTGGCTTAGAGAACAAACACTGCTTTTATATACCCTGCTCTGCTGCGTAATTTTTTTTACATCACCAAGCATGAACCACCAACCATAGAAATTTCCTAGCTAACAATAGCACAGCGGTAGGGCGTTTGCCTTACAAGCGGTCAACATGGCCGACCCGAGTTCGATTCCTCCGCCCCTCTCGGAGAGCCCGGCAAGCTACCGAGAGTATTCGATATGCCAGACACAGTAACAACAAAGTCTCCAATGGAGACGTTACTGGGCCCGCTCGAGCAAATCGACGATCAACGGGAGGGCCTTTACCTTTACCTTTAACACTGACAAACCATGAATTTTCAGGAATCTGTTCGTGTAGCAATAAGTGAAGGTCATTTTTCCTTTTACAAACAGGCGATTCTCAAGGATGAGTCAAACCAAAGAAAGAAGATAAAGCATCTTGTATGCATTATTTAAGACTCCCCCCTCCCCCCCAATGAGGCCAACTATTATAAACCTTTTAGGAATCAAAATAGTGGCTGCAGGAAACATGATTTCAGAGACGCCAATACTACTGTTTCTTCATTTGGATCCAAGTTAGGTGGGCGTGCTGTTGGGGAAACTCCACACCACAGATGTGACCTTAGAGTGTATCCATAATATTGAAGGGGCTCAGAGTGTGCTACTGCTAAACGTACCTTATCTGGCATAAGGATTACATTCAGCTGAAGGCAACGGGGAAAAAAACAGAAAGAGGATGAAATCCCTATCTTTCACCTCCTGCTAGACTCAAATTCCCCATGGAAGGGCAGAGCCCAGCCCACTTCCTGAGCAGGAAGATGCTACCTGGAGAAGAGCCCCCTGGAGACTGGTCCCCAGAGCCTGAACAACGTACTTACACACTGACTTCTCTGTACTCACCCTCATCCGCACGCCCCAACTTGCTGCCTCCCAACAGTTAAACTCCAAGTCCTTCTCGTTTGTCTTGTCAATTCTCTTCCAAGTTACTACGTGTTGAAATGCCATATCAACTTTCGATAGTAATCCCCTCTGACTTATTCATCACTAGATTCTCTCCCACGTGTATGTACAAAGCATGCACTGTTCACAGTTTTCAGGGTCATTCCTAGCATCCTACTCAGGACTCATTCCCTGCGAAGAGGTGCTCAGGATTGGGGCTGGAGGCGGGGAGGGGACCATGTGATAGTGGGATCAGACCATTGATTGAATGCCAAGCCTTAAGAGCTCCAGCACTTTGAATATTTCTAGAGCCCAAAGCATAAATTAAAGACCTTGCTTTTTTTTTGGTCAATTGATTTTATATTAGTTTAGTTCACAGAGTCCAAGCCAGATCATCTTAATGGGTAAAGGAAGAGGTATTTTTATTTATCCCAAGGAGTATATTGAAATAAGATGATTTTAAAATCGGTTATTCATTAAGCATCAGTTATTTCCTCCCCTAATAAGATGATAAGGTTTGCCTCTGTGTGTTGTACATAAGAATTAAAATTAATGTTTTTATAGTATAAGATACACATTCTTTTGTTTTGTTTTGTTGGCCATGCGTGACTTACTCCTGGCTCTATATATCTATAAATAGATATATAGATGACTACATATCAATGCTAGGGCTGGAGCGATAGCACAGCGGGTAGGGCGTTTGCCTTGCATGCAGCCAACACGGCCAACCCAAGTTTGATTCCTCCGCCCCTCTCAGAGAGCCCGGCAAGCTACCGAGAGTATCTGGCCCGCGCGGCAAAGCCCGGCAAGCTCCCCATGACGTCTTCGATATGCCAAACACAGTAACAACAAGTCTCATGATGGAGACATTACTGGGCCCGCTCAAGCAAATCGATGAACAACGGGAGGACAGTGATAGTGATAGTGATAGTGATAGTGATAGTGATAGTGATAGTGACATATCGATGCTATCTACTATATACGTATGCCCAAGTATAATTCACAAGTGAGGCATAATATGAGATCAATAACAATAGAAATAATGAAAGAGAAGAATTATAACTGTGTGCCATTAAAAATATTTTTGTCTTACTCTCAGAATATTGGGTTGGGGATGGAGCAATAGCACAGCGGGTAGGGCCTTACACGTGGCCAACCCGGGTTCAATTCCCAGCATCCCATATGCTCCCCCAAGCACTGCCAGGAGTAATTCCTGAGTGCATGAGCCAGGAGTAAACCCTGAGCATCACCGAGTGTGACCCAAAAGGGGAAAAAAATCAAAATATCGGGTTTTCTTTATTTTTAGCGTTTAGACAACACCCACACAGGGTTACTCCTGGCTCTGTGCTCTGGAATCACTCCTGACATTGCTCATGAAACAATATGCAATCCTTGAGGTGAAACCAGGGTCTATCGAGTGAAAGACAAGCCTTATCAGCTGTGCTACATAGAGTTATATAGACTGCTTTGTATAATTATATATAACTACATCCGTATAGAGTTAACAAATGGTGAATAAATTGTACCTTTACATTTTTATTCCTATTAACCACAAAGGCAATTCCTAAAAGTAAAAAATAAGGTCTATTAAAGAGGTTAACTATAGTACTCAAAATTTTAATAGGATTTTATTGTATATTTAAATGGCTATATTAACTCTCATTCCTAGTTCTGAAAATGAAAGACTTAGTATTAATTTGGCAGGCCACTTCACAAAGAAGATATTCTGCCTAATCTCAAAGTCAATTTTATGTATTTAATAAAATCAATTCTCATGGAAAAAATTAAGAATCATCATAAAATTAAATCATGTTGATGAGTGCTTACAAATAATCCTGGAAATTATAAATATGAGTGGTTTTTCAAAATAAGAAAAAATCAAGGAGCAATCATTGATTCTGAAATTGATTCATTAAATAACTTTGTGCACATTATTGGACTGGAACGATAGTACAGCCGGTAGGGCGTTTGCCTTGCGCACAGTCAACAAGTCCGACCCGAGTTCGATTCCTCCACCCCTCTCAGAGAGCCCGACAAGCTACTGAGAGTATCTCATCCGCATAGCAAAGCCTGGTGAGCTCCCCGTGACGTGTTCGATATGCCAGACACAGTAACAACAAGTCTCACAATGGAGACGTTACTGGGCCTGCTCGAGCAAATTGATGAACAACAGGAGGACAGTGACAGTGACAGTGCACATTATTATTTTATGTTGCTGTTTTGTTTTGTTTTTGAGCTATAGCCAGTGGTGTTCAAGGCTCATTCTTGGCTCTGCTTAGGGGTCGCTCCTGATGGACCCCAAGGAAATACTTGTGGTTACAGAGATAGTATCCAGGGGCCACATGCAAGGCAAGTACTCTACCCACTGTACTATCTCTCCAGTTCCTGTGCAAATTATTTTATATAAATTTGTCTCTGTTTCCTCAATAGAGTAAAATCAGTGCAACAATTCTTAAAAGACTGTTGTTCATTAACTGATTCCATCAATTCCATTGATCCACTAATTGTGTGAACTAATGAGTTAATGATGGAAGAACTTGCAAAGTAGAAGAGTATTACTGAAAGTATCCTATTACTAATGGTCACCATTGTTTGCATCTTCCTGTTCACTTAATTATTTCATAAGTATCAAATCTATATCTGTAAATTTGAAAAGGCATTATTCTATCAGTTCTTTGGTCAGAAATCAATCATCATCAGAAAATTATATAAACACATTCATTTCATATATAAGTTCTTTAATGTTTACTAAGAATATAAAATATAACTCCATAAGGGGATGGCACTTTATTTGTTTGCAGTTGTTAGTACTATGCCTGAGGCATTGTCTCATCTACAGTAAGCATTTTATAAATATGTGCTGAATACATAAAATCTTATTGCTAAAATTTAAAAAAAAGGTTTCTACTTTGAGAAGTTTGATACCGTACAGCATGTCCTTGATTTAGAAGCATAATTTAGTAAACTTTAATTAAAAGTAATCCTAGCTTGCTCCATAGTTGGAAGCCTGCCTGATGAGCAGAGAGGAGAAGGCAGGTGGGATAGAGAAGGGATCACTAAGAAAATGAGGGTTGGAGGAATCGGTCGGGATGGGAGATGTGTGCTGAAAGTAGATAAAGGACCAAACATGATAATCTCTCAGTATCTGTATTGCAAACCATAATGCTCCAAAGTAGAGAGAGAGTATGGGGAATATTGTCTGCCATAGAGGCAGTTGGAAGGTGGAAAATTGGGGGGATTATTGGGGATATTGGAAGTGGGGAATGTGCACTGGTGGAGGGACGGGTGTTTGATCATTGTGTGATTGTAGCTCAAACATAAAAACTTGTAACTATATCTCACGGTGATTCATGGTCATGGTCATCCCATTATTCATCGATTTGCTCAAGCAGGCCCAGTAACGGCTCCATCGTGAGACTTGTTGTTACTGTGTTTGGCATATCGAATACGTCACGGGGAGCTCGCCAGGCTTTAAATAAAATTTTAAAATGAACAAATAAAATCCATTTTCCTATAGGTAAAGGTAAAAGGTAAAGGCCCTCCCGTTGATCATCGATTTGCTCGAGCGGGCCCAGTAACGTCTCCATTGGAGACTTTGTTGTTACTGTGTCTGGCATATCGAATACTCTCGGTAGTTTGCCGGGCTCTCCGAGAGGGGCGGAGGAATCGAACTCGGGTCGGCCATGTTGGCCGCTTGTAAGGCGAACGCCCTACCC